AAAAGATTGCCGAAGTTGAAGTCTTTAATGATTTAAGCAACAATTAAAATGCATTCAAAAATATGAAGATGTGTTATAATGACATCTAACACACTTACGTAAGTGTTCCTATAACTTGATGATAAAATGAGCAAATACAGCTTTAATATCATTTTGAAAATTAAGCTATGCACCCTCAACTCCCAAAGCGAAAGTCCGTTAGTTACGCCTGATTCCAATCTGGTTTATTATAGAAAACAACAAACTGATCATCAGAACAACAAAACAAATTAATCTACCAGGATACGACCACAAGAAACATTTTCTATTGATGTTATTCCATTTATGAAGGAAACAAGGTTTGTAATAATTATCCTTTGAAATGTAATAAGGCATGATTCAATGTATAATTAACAGGATTTCTAAATTTATCATACCATGTTATTCGAGCACAAAAGTATGTAACAAAATCAATTTTAATTTCCGCTTTTATTTGTAATACTGAGAACGGTATTTTGAAAATATACGCCATCAAGTGTGATCATGAAAGCTCTGTACACAACGGTTAACATCTAAGATTTTCTGCATAGTTTATATTTTAAATTAATTTTAATATTTCAATAATGTGCCCATGCAAATGAATTGCAGATTTGATTTAAATGAAGCCGACGGAAGTTGCCGATGCGTTAAACACTCGGCAGCAGTTCATATCAAGAGATTTCTTTTGAAAAGCAACTCGTTTTCACAAAATGTTCAGCACATTTGTTTTACTGAAATGGTACACATTGTCAGTCCTAAACACAATATATATTCCATTATGAATTGCCGTAAATGTATAATTCACGAAATCAGAATCCTAATTAGTCGTGCTATCAAATGAAAGAAAACATTAACCAAAACGCTTCGTCATTAGTTATGCTCTATATAGATTAAATGCGTTGATGTAACAATAATTTCCACAATAGCTAAAGATTTTTTTTTTTCAAAATGAAATATATCTTATATTAAAATGCTTTCCCGTCCCAAATGCCTTTTTTCAAATAGCAACAATACTCCAGATTCGTGACAATGTTGTTAAACCTGAAAATGTGTTCGGTGGAGGAAGTTTGCTATCAGCCGTAGTGATAAAGTTATTTAATCTTGCTTATTACATTTACTATCCACAAATGATTTGCAACATATCATAGTTTTCATAAATAACCGTTTATTAATCCAAAAGGAACGGGATAGAGGGCTAGAAATATGGTAACACAAATAGTCAATTCGATTATGAAGTGGGAAAAGCATTGAACGTGCCAAAGGGATTGTGAACATGTAATTTTTTCTTGAACAGTTAATATTATATAAAATTTTATTCTGCTCATTTAAACGCATGTCTCTTTAATGGATTATTAAGCAATTAAGGGGGATCTAATGCAAATTGGAACGTAACTGAATGTCTTGTAATAATTGAGATCATAGTGTTTTATGGTGCAATGCTTCTTCGGAATGCGATTAATATTGAAGAATACGCTTTTGAAAATCTTTAAGTATGGACGCTAAGCAGCAAACCTTTTCAAGTAATTTCATCTGTGACATAAATGAAAAGGACAACTTTCCTTTATTATGTAAAACCACTTAAACGCCGTGCTTATTACTTCAAAAACTGCATTTCGAGTATGAGGTTGAACGAATCAAATATGATAAAAGAACTCAAACTCTATCTCAAAAGAAAAAAATTGTCAACTAGAAATATTGCATTACTAATGCTCGCATGTTTCTAAATATTTTCGGTTAATTTGTGACAACAAACAACATTTTTACAATCATCGATTCAAACAGGTTTCTGAACAATTGATGATGAAAGACATATAATTCTTAAACATACTAATCAATTTATTTAGATAAAATACTTTATAATCTTATTATATGGATTGGTAAAGATTTATGTTACATAACATGTTCTAGAGGCTGCGCCTTATTACAATACATTATGTTGGAGTAATCTTTTTCAATAATAAAATAATAATTTTGCAGAAGATATATAACTTTAAACACTACAAAATAATAGCAAATCTTTATCTTCTCACGCATACGGGATATTTCGTGTCATTCGCCATCTTTATACATTTTATTCATCCAAACCAATTACCGGTATATGGTTTAATACTTCTAAATAATAATGGCAATCTGTGATATACGTGATTAAACAATACATCAGTGATTGACTGACTGTCGTGTGAAATCTACCGGTTGAATATGTGTCTTCAAAATATGACAACGTATTGACGGCAAAACAAGTATAACGCTTAAGCTTGTAAAGAGATCAAAAAGATAAATATAATTTTGTCAGAAATAATCCTAAGGAATGACCATAAAATAGGATGGGAAGTGCGGGAAAATGTTGACAAAGGTAGACAACATTTCAAACTCATATTGAAATATTCTGTGAAATTTCTTTATCATAAAATAACCTTTGATAAAACCTGTGGCTTTTATTATCTGCCAAAATGTACATCCATTTGCATCGGAAATAATTACAGTCATAAATTATAGTGTAAAAATGTAAACAACGTTAATCTTCTATGAATGTTCAACTTCATAAGTTATTCTTATGAAATTATAGCTTCAGTGTTTAAGTTGGATCTAGAAATAAACATATGGAACTATTTCTGCATGCAATACATTTTTCTCCATTTAACTTAAAATCTCTCCAAAAAGCGTTTGCTTAAGGAAAGTCCGATATTTTTTTTCTTCTTTCAGTTCCTTTTTAGTGCTTGTTTTCATATAATGGCTCAAATAACATATGAAAATTTGTCTTCACCTAACTTTATACATGGCCGAACTGAAGGTTGTAGTATATTTTATATAAAAAACCAAGCATCCATTTAAACTAACATTATCAGGTTGTCCATCCCACGTGATATATGACATGAGAAATGATACGAATGATTCAAATGTTTCCCCTTATCCTGCTACAACTAATGGCGATTATAGCTACAATATTTGGCGGCTGGCAATGTCAATTTAAGAACTTCAGCAGGTTATGGAAGTCATCATACAGCTAACCTCTAATCATCCATATGTCTCTTTCTTCCGAATACCTTTACTTTGTATTAGAATACATTATATTTTGTACATATTTAATAAAGTTTCAATCTAATTTTAGATACTCTAATAGGGTGCATATATATATACACACACACACCAATCAAAATAGGCATGTGTCACATTGCTATTCTGTCTTTTCCAAATCAGAGATCGATCTAATGGATTACACGTCCAAGAAAAAAACAGCTTTGTCGCACGATGATTAATGATGTGTCATTTTCTATCACATTTGATATGTAAAGTGTCCTCTAATTGTTTTCTTTTTCCAAGGTATTTATTTTCGTAAATACTTCTTGGTCGTTGTTCCGATACTCCAATTAATATTACTAATCAACCTTTTCGGACGAGACTTAAACCGAAGCCACGTGCAATGGTACTTTACACCTAGCATGCTTTGTTGTTTGTTTTTATCCCCATTAATTGTCATTTATCGAAACAAGCGGTTCTGTGTTAATCTAATTCATTCTAAAAAATTAACGATATTCAATCATTTTCAATTCTGAAATGAAATCCACTGAGGTCCAATAGCCTAAAAACATGAAAATTGAATTTCTTACAAAGATCAACTGGGGCACTTAACAAATGGAGACATTTGCAAAAAGATAAATAAGAAATAAATCAGAAATATAAAAAATCGGTTATTTTCACAATTAGAAATTATAAATGGAGTGAGCGAATTATCTAAAATTTAGCGTCTTGACCTACATCAAATGGAACATTAACCTTGAAAAATTATTCAAAGCCCTGTCAAAAAAAAAAAAAAACCCTCAGCGGAGTCCCTTTTATATGCGTATAAAAATCTTTGTTCTGGTCGTACTTTGAAAAAAAAAAACATCTCTTACCCCCAAAACAAAACAAGAAATCGTGTTTCATTGGTAGTGATTATATGGAATGACGATTTCAACCTTAACCTGCTGAATTCCTCCACAACTTGCATTTCTAGAACAGTGCCTCGTCAATTTTTCCATGTCCATGATTTCTATAAACTTTCTTTCGAAGTAGTAATACTGATATATTTATATGTATTAGACATGAATATTTGTATACAGTCATCATATCTGGATATATGATTCAAAGTCTGCCTTAATTAGAACTATCTTTTAGCCTGCAAAATGCTAACATTTTCATGGAACACATAAACAGAGCAGTGATACGTTTTTATATTTATTACATAGAACGTGTTCTATATGACGAAGATAATATTAAGTAGGTTAAAATGTATTGCTAGCTATTTTATGTTTATATATCTGTGGTATAAGGGAGATTACGTTTACACTGACAACACTTTCGTCATAGATTGGTTGTCTCCCATTTAAATATTGTATCTCAATAGTGGTTTGGTTATGTTTACTTTAATGTTCTTGTTTTAACTAAATTAAAATTTAAAAAGAAACTCTAAAGTTAATAGTTCGAGCTTTGGAGTCCTTGAATGACATAGCTCAAGTGTCTTAATGCTGGAGCAGGGTCTTTCAAATAGAAGGTTTCTATAAATCTTTACTATGTTCTTCCGCCTGACAATTATTCTGAACAGTCCCTCCTTCCTTTTAGGTTTATCAATCAATTATGTATGACTTTCAATTTTATTTATAATATTTGTTGTTTTAGGGCCCATTTATTTATTTTTTTATCATCATTATTATTATTATTATTATTATTATTATTATTTTATTATTAATATATTATTATCAATATCATTATTATTATTATTAATATTATCATTGTTATATCTATTATTATTATTATTATTATTTTATGCACAGAGCTACTATTATTATTTTCATTATTAGATTATACATGTAATGTTAAATTTCATTGAATTTTACAGCTGTACCGCTTTATATCTGTATTTTGCGCATTCGTAGCCAAATTGAGTATACCCGGGGACCAATACACTGTTATGACGTAATTACAATATACATGTGTATCTGTTTCCGGTTACTGAGGCATGCGCATTCGCAAATCAACAATGGCATCTGGAGAAAGAGAGCAGATTTTAGCTGACTTTCAAGTACGGTTTTTACTCGTTTATAATTTTAATTGAGTGTTTATTTTCAGCAGTAATAATATTGCACCATTCTGCTTTCTATCTGACACACTGGCTATCATGATGATGATCAGATTAAGACAAATTATTGAACTGTTCTGACTTGTTTCTCTTTGGTTTGTTTAGTTCATGACAGAGCAAAATTTCTATTGCGATGAATAATAATTTGTTCTTAGTGCATATCACTGAATCATCAGTTGTAAATTAAAACTAGTTTTTCTAAAAAACTTATATGAAAATGAAGCAAAGAACTTATAGAGCCATATAACTTTTTTAAATGTATTGAACAAATTTTGATATTAAAATTATTCTTGAAAAAAAAATAGAACTAGAACTAGATTTTCTATCAAAGACAAAAGTAAAAATTGTTAACATTAAAAGTGTTTCAATTGTATTTCCTTTATGATGATAAGCGATTCATTAAAGAATTGATTTATGAAACAATCACTTTTCAATGTTTTATGTTTTGATATTTGAAAAATAGATTCTATTTGATATTTACATTGTAATATCTGTTGATATTTACAATGTAATATCTAAAATATTATTGTAATATTATATAACATTTATTAAAGCTGCGTTAATCTGTTACAAAAATAAGACAGAAAGTAATCCATACTCGTACATTTGTACTGCGACATAGTATGAATGTGATTTGTATGCAATTGGTGGTTAATTCTATGTTATTCTCGGGTCAAGTCAGCCACATGCTTATTTTATTGATCATTGTGAAAGGGTATCTTTGCATAAAATGGCTTAAATATAAGCCAACATGTGAGAGATATCTTAATTTTTTAACAGTCCTTTCATATTTAAATTGTTAATTAGGGTTTCTTAACCGGCCAAAAATCATAATCGATCATCGAAAATAATCAAACAACCCTTTTCGATCAATCATCGATTATATAATCAAAACATTTACAATTAGAAAGTAAATTACTAAATATGCACAATGCACATATCATGCTTTAAAATTTATTATAATTCCATTAATATTCTATATTTTGTGTAACTACCACTTTATCAACAGAAATAAACTAGTTTAAAGATATACTATGCACAAACTAGAATGCCTCACTGTCAACTATTAACACCACGGTCACCAGTATGCTTTCATATTCATTTGAATGAAAATTATTGTTTCAACCAAAGCTGGTTTTAATTTAGAGTGTTGTTATAATACAGTGAGTCACTTAAGTAACAGCAAGAAAATAAATTACCAATAATCGATTACGATCATCGCCAATTGGTCCTATAAACAACAAATTTTCGATTATACTCGATAATCGTTTAATCCTTAGTCTTAACATAATGATATATGAATTTTTAGTTTAAATATTAATTGTCAATTTTATATTCAGGGACAGAACATTTAATATTACCATATAAGGTGTTGTACATTTTTGTCTAGGTGTAATGTGTTAAGATGTTGATCAAATGCATGTAAAATGATTTTTTTAAAGAAGAAAATGGTTTGATTATATTGTAAATTTGAATCTCAATATATTATTTATCATATAAATTTATGGCTTTCAAAAGTCAAACACAACACAAGGCTTATTGTTCAATCAACTGTCAATTAAACACCAACATATCATATTGCATAAATATAGTCAGTAGATGATTATTCCATTCATATGATGTCCCAGGTTTTAATAAATTTCATGTCTCTAAAAATATTCTGATTAGCAATATTTCACAATAAGTACATTCTGTGATGAAATTGTTCCCCAAATACATATGAACTTCTTCAAGTTGCTGATTCTAAAGTTCAGGATGGATCTATGTGGCAGAGTTGTGACAGTCTTTGTGCTTAAAATAATACATAAAGGATCAGCTAGGACAAAGTTACATCTTGAGTCTTGACACACATGTATTTCCATCTGCAAAGCAAGAAATCAATATTTTCCAGAACAAATAGTTTGTAAAATTGGGTAGGCAAAAACTGTCCCTTCAAAAGTTAATTTATACAGAAGTATTGAAGTATTACTAGATCAATTGTGAAGGAAGCTAAAAGCTTATATATAGACACAAACACGAATTTGTTCCTGCAAGTACCAGCCAGTACCAAGCAATAAGTTAAAAGTTTCTTACTTAAGTAAAAAAAAAACCAACTGCTTGCCCCTATTGGGTTTGAACCAAATTGGCTAGTGATTCTGATTACTAGTTTGTCATGTGAACAATAACTATCATGATGCATGATCAAATGTACCTAAGGCAATGCCCAGGTCTGTTGCTCAAAGGTCAAGGTCAAATATTGAGGTCAAATTTTAAAGGAATCTGGCCTATGATTTGTATAAGAAATGTTGTAGTGTATACATATGTTGAATCTTAATACTACCTTAATCTGTAATGCCCATGTCCATTACCTTCCCGCCACTTATATGCTTGGAACATTCATTGGTCATTAAACGATAGAACTAGTAACACGTGTCTGTGTTATATATGTATTACAAAAAGCTCTGTTTACATATTAATAAATAGACCCATAATACAACAAGAAATAAGTTAAAGTAAGTGATCACCAAAACAAATAGTTTCATTCAAAAGTTAAAGTCACATTACAGGTAGTATGACATTCATTTCTTTACCAAATATCATGCATAGGGGGGGGGGGGGGGGGGGGGGGGGGGGCATCTATGAGCTACAATGTATGTACCAAGTTCTTGTTTCAAACATAAGTGTTAATATTTTCTTGAAACTTGTCTTAGTAAATCTTTTTGAAGATTTTTTAAAGCAGAAGTTCTTTATATAACATTTTAATGTTGTGGAGTATTATATAATAATTGATATATACACTGTTTTATTTTTAGGCTTGTACACAGCTTGATGACATAGAAACATGCATTGCAATTTTAGATCAACATGACTGGAATCTTATGGTAAGGAAGTAAACTCTTATCCACTTGAAAATGATATCAAAAATAAAGTGAAGTATGTTTAATTGAAAGAATTTGATATATTGTATAATGTTAACAGTAGTTTGTTTCCTATAATTAATTCACTTAGGTCTTATTAGGTTAATATCAAGTGGATAAAAATTTTAAAATAATTTTTAAACAGTTTTTAATCGCAAGTACAATGTACCTTGTAAATATTAAAAGGAGTTACACGACTTACCGGAATCGGCCGAATTACCGGAATCGGCGGTGAATTACCGGAATCGACCTGTAACTTTGTAATAATTAAACTTTTAAAGTTTTTTCTTGCAATTTTATAAAATATAAACAATATCAATGATTTATGAAAAGATTTTTATAAATAAAGTCGCTTTTGATTAATTTAATAAGAGATCTAATATCGGCGAGCTACTGCCAAACTGCCCGTGACCGGAATCGGCCTGTTATTTTGTTGTTTATGCAACGTTTAATGTTCCTTTTGCATGTTTTTATAAAACCTAAATATTATCATTAACCTTCCTAGAGATTGTGAAAAAATCGCTTTTAAATAATAATAATAAACAAATATTTATGATCAGCGAAAACGGCAAACTGCCGGAATCGGCGAAGGATTACCGAAATCGGCCTGTAATTTGCTTATCTTTAAACTTTTAACAAAATTGTTGCACCTTTGATTAAAAATAAACAATAGCAATGATATGTAATCTGATTATTGTCAATAAAATCACTTTTTATTAATTAAACAAGATATTTAATATCGGCGAGTTACTGCCATACTGTCGGAATCGGCGAAGGATTACCGGAATCGACGTATAATTTAGTCTATTGTACTTTTTAACGTTTCTGTTGCATTGTTAATATTCGTCTTATAAAATGTAAATATTATGAATGATATTTGAAAGTTTCTTTCTTTCTTTTATTTTGTAAATTTCAATTCGCCTTTGGTTAATAAAGCAAGAGATCAAAGATCGGCGAGTTACATATACTGTCATACTGCCGAAATAGGCGAATGATTACCGGTGTAGCGTGAGATTCGTCAGACCCGTGAAAAATGTAAGATCTTACGAATCTCACGGGAGGGTTGTGAAAAATGTCAGACGTGAGAAACGTAAGACTATTTGAGTGGAGAACATTTCCTGTTGCAATTAAATTAAATACTGTCAATATTCCATTGCATCAATAAAGTAATGGTTAAAGCGAAGGAGTTTGACTGTTTTTACGAGTAAATAATAACAATTTTAATCAATGTTTCAGCTTTAAAATAGCCGCTCGGATGTTCATGATAAAGTTCTACAAATTAATTTGGATTTTTATATTTTGCATAGATCTACTATGAAGTAATTATGAAGTAACTAATGGACCACTCCTTATGTTTTTAAAATAAAAACATACAATAGTGAATGTTGCTGTCCATCTATGAGTGAATTACACAAATGCCGAGTAGTAAATTGAAATCATCTTGTTCGGCCCTAAATGAACTCGACCGAGTCGATCATCTCGGCCACAAACTGCATCCGTTCAAATAATCCTTATGATCTGTTAAGAAATTATCAACAGACGTTTTGTGATAAAAAATAACACCAGTGGGTATTAATTAATTTTACATAAGGTAATACTTGAACAGACTGGTGCTTTAAACCTATAGATACCACACTGTGACAGACCCAGCACAGTGTTGGGATAGTGTAAAAAGGTAATTCTAGTGTAAAAAGGTAATTCTAAAAAAAAGTATATACTGTATATATAATATGTAGACTTTATTAGATATACAGTATATATATTTTTTTAGAATTAATTTTTTACACTATCCCAACACTGGGCTGTGTCCCTGTGATAGATACCTTTTATCACAGACACTTGGGGTGCCTTTAAAATCCAAATAAGATATATGTTTGTCAATCCCAGCACATGTACTGGTAATATATGTAAAAAAAATAATATAAGCTGTTTTGAAAAAAAAAATCATATTTCAAGGTCTAAAATAATACACACACACGAGCTCCACATCCCAAGTGTCTGTGCCTTTTAACTACACTGTGCTGTCCTATAAACTTACATGCTAGAAGATCTTTCGTTTTAGCAGAGGAGATCTACACATTCTTTCAAGCATCACTGGTTGCAGAATACACTATTGCAGGAATGATTGGGTACCAAATTTTTTTAAGCACCAAACTATAATCTTACAGCAATGCTACACCAATAAATCAAAGTTCCTGGCAAGTTCAAACACAACCATAGTTAGGTGCTCAACATTTTTATATTTCCAAATAATGTATAACCCAAAAAACATGTTTCAATCATAAACATGATCTTTAGACTTGTAATCAAGTTTTCACTTTTCAAGTCATTACAGTCAGGTAATTATACATAAATTATAACTGAAGAAATAGAGGATAGCCAAGTTTTTTCTATAAATACAATATTTATTTTCATTGCGTGGAATAAACATAAATATTTCATGAGTGGTGGTTGCCACAAGTGAAACATGATAATTTTCATACTACAAACTATTTATAGAAAATACTTAAATTTACTTGTTTATTATATGCATTTCTCTTTTTTGACATCACAATATGAAAGACTAACTCGGCTGAATATAGCAGAAATTAGTCTGGCAAGACACCGGTGAAAATATGTTTCACTGCAGTGAAAAATATTTTTTTTGCAGTGAAAATAAGGAAAGTGAAAATAAGCATTTAATTTCATCAATACTTCTCATCATTTTATTTATAAGTATGTAATAAAGAAACATAACCTGGAAATACCATATTTCCAGCTTGGAAAGAGGTGCACATCTTCTCTTCGAAATGTTCTTTTATATTCGTTTCTGCCAGGTACTTACATACCAGTCGAATACCAAATATTAAATAAATACCCAGATTCTTTCATATATATCAAAACACAAATCAGCAAAACAGTTGTACAAAAATTAATTTTATCAATAATTAATATATTAATGTCAAGTAAGTTATTTTACTGTTTACTATCTTTGGGGGGGGGGGGGGGGCCGGGGCGGGATATAGTGGGTTTTTTAATAAAACTGACACTGGAGAGGTCATATGGCAAGTTTCAACCATAACTGGAGTGAAAAAGGAAGATACACTTAGATATCATTTCTGGCTTGCACCAGAATAAAACTTATAATATAAGTATACTTAGACATTTTATATACTTTATATTTATCAGTATTTGTCCTAGATGCTAACTGCTTGCTAGATAGTCTCAAATTAAGAGTATTTTTTTCCTTATCAGATCTGAATTATCCATGCTAGAGGTATTGGTAAACATGTCACAAAAATTTCTTGCATATCAGACAGGATAATCTACTGTTTGCGCGGGTGCTAAAAAACCTTGCTTACACCCCTGGCTTTAAAGGGAATTTCTAGCTCACGGGTAACTGTTTACAGAAAACTCTGCAGAGCATATTGCCGAAAACAATTATGCTTAAGCTAGATGTTCAGATCTGTACTGACAGCTGGTGTAAGATTTTTATGTTATAACCAGTATGACTGGTTCCAGTTTGAATACATTCAGTGGTTTGTAGCAACCAAAGTTTAATGCAAAATCATTAAAACAGAAATATGCACATTTCACCTAGAGAAAAATCCTTTTTAAGCTATCAAGCACTTTGAATATTTAAATAATAATATTAATAAAATTATAGGTTAGTAATATGCACATTTTTGTAGTTTAACTGATCTTTTTAGTCACACTTGTTTTGTCTAAGTATAAATCATTTCCATATATAAATGACTAAGTTATGAATCATTTCCATAAATAAATGACTAAGTTAAGAAAATGTAAGTAAAATTCAATCATCCGACCTGGATGGTCAATGTCATTTAAAGTTATAGCTGGTTATATGGATTTCATTAATTTGACCTTGACGGTCAATGCAATAACTTACCTTCAAGTTCAAGATCATTATGAGTGAAGGTCAAGTTGTGTCTGATTAGCTTGAAGGTCTATCCTAACAGATTGTTGTTTTCAAGTTTGAAGAAAATCCATTCAAAATTATCAAAGCTATAGCCATTCATGAACTTTAAAAAAAAATGTTGAATCTTTTATAAAATATAAACAGTAATGGCATGTAATAAGATTTTTATAAAAAAAAAAAACACATTTGATTCATTAAACAAGAGATTTAATTATGATCAGCAAGTTACTGTCATACTGCTGGAATCGTGGAATTATTACCGGAATCGGCCAGTAATTTGATTTATGAACTTTTTAAAAATTATTAAATACAAACAATATGAATGACATGTACAACGATTTTTATAAACAAAATCACGCTTTATTAATTAAACAAGAGCTAGATCAGCAAGTTACTGCCATACTGTCGGAAGGATTGTTATTCGGGTATTTTGGCAGTAGCTCGCCGATATTAGATCTCTAGTTAAATAATCAAAAGCGATTTTATTTACATTTTTTTACATTTCCTTGATATTATTTATATTGTATAAAGATGCAAGAACCTTTTTTTTAAAATCTTCATTAATAACCAAATTATTCGCCGATTTCGGTAATCATTCACCGATTCCGACAGTATGGCAGTAACTCGCCGATATTAAATATCTTGTTTAATTAATCATTTATCAATGAGATTTTATTTACAAAAATCTGATTACATATCATTGATTTTGTTTATATTTAATCAAAGATGAAAAAATGTATATACATCACATTTAAAAAATATTGTGTGTTTATTTGGGATGTTCGCGGAAAATGTCATTATTAATTCAGTGTCATAAGCCAGAGACATAGATAACTACATGTATATATCATAGTCCTTTACTTTAAGGATCTTCTTCCATTTATTATTAATAACTAAATGGGTCAAACGGTTAGAAATTATGCCAAACTTTGAAAAGAATCTTTAGATCTATACTTTATATTGTTGTTTGGTTTTACATTGACCAAATCTTAAGCTTTTAAAGAAGTTCAATAAATTCTTTTATGAAGTTCAATAAATTCATCTACAGCTTGCTGAACAACAGGCATTCTCTAACAGATAGTCCCTCCCACTATGAAATATATCAGCATACCGTATATTGGCACCCCACTGTTTTGTAGTATATCACACTTCCCAATACACAGCTCCCAATATACAGCTCGTTTACTTCCAATAAAGTGACAGTAACATCTGTGCGTATATAGTTAACATCCATATCGCACTGTTTTATACGTTACGGGTATATATGATTTGTCTAAAGAATCTGTGTTTAATTTGCAATCTTTGTAATATTTTTATGATGCACCAATAACGCAAATGACAACAATTGATTTGATTGAATGACCAAGAACTGTCAAGTAAGTACGATTTAACTGCCTGGTAAAACATTGATTTCATGTGAATATTTCATGAGGTTTGTATTGTTTAAATAAAGATTCAAATAGAAATTATTGCATGTAATTATAAATCGACTACTTTATGAAATAAAGAATTGAGTTATGCAAACATAAAGAAAGACTGAACTAACCTATCGTTATCCGTCATTTCAAACAATCCTCTTACAAATGTCCTGAAAAATATAATGTAAAGACGATATTGCATTATTCCATAAAAGATCAATGATTATGTTTGTAAATACATGCCAAAATAAATGATGATAATAATATTAAGTTCACATTCATAACAAAATTAGAACCGATTCCAGTAATCCTAGACGAAGTGAAGCCGATTCCGGTAATCACTCGTCGATTCGGTAGTATGGAAAAAAATCATAGATCACCTTGTTTATTATGTAATAGCGATTACAATAAATATTATTAAATATCATTTGAATTGTTTGTATTTAATAAAATATGGCAAGATATTTTTAAAACGCTGAAATATAACAAAATAACAGACTAATTCCTGTATTTCCCTGTTAATTCAGGCACTGTGATAGTAATTAGCCTATCTTAGATATCTAGTTTATAGTAAAAAAGTGATCTTTATTTCTCAAAAAAATCTTTTTATACAATGATATTATTTGCATTTAATAAAATAACATAGAAAATAACTATATTACAGGCTGATCCCGCCCATCCTTCCCCTATATCGGCAGTATGACAGTAATTCGCCGATCTTAGGTCTCTTGTTTTATTAATCAAAAGCGAATTTACTTACAAAAATGAATATCGTTGAAAATGTTTATATCTTATGAAAACATGCAAAAGAAATATTAAAAAAGTTCACAAATAACCAAATTACAGGTCGATTCTGGTAATCTATCGCCTATTCCGACAGGTTTCCCGTTTTTGCCGATCTTCAATATTAATCTTTTTATTATTATATTACAGCGTTTTTCTATAAATCTTTTGCTTCTTATTTAATACCGATTTCAATAAACATTATAAAAATCGTTTAAATTGTTTGTATTTAATAAAATAATTCAAGGTATTTTTTAAACGTTGAAATATTGGTGGGGAAAAACAGACCGATTCCGGTAATTGTCCCCATAGCCCTGGCACTGCATATATGCGATATGGCAGTAATTCGCCGACCTTAGATCACTAGTTTATTATTTAAAAAGGATTCTTCATTTTTAGAAATCTTTTTAGATATCTATTATATTGGTTGCATTTTTTTCTTGCAAAGTCCATAAATTACAATAATACAGGCCGATTTCGGTAATCATTCGCCTATTTCGGCAGTATGACAGTATATGTAACACGCCGATCTTTGATCTCTTACTTTATTAACCAAAGGCGAAATGAAATTTACAAAATAAAAGAAAGAAAGAAACTTTTAAATATCATTCATTATATTTATATTTTATAACACGAATATTAACAATGCAACAGAAACGTTAAAAAGTACAATAGACTAAATTATACGTCGATTCCGGTAATCCTTCGCCGATTCCGACAGTATGGCAGTAACTCGCCGATATTAAATATCTTGTTTAATTAATAAAAAGTGATTTTATTGACAATAATCAGATTACATATCATTGCTATTGTTTATTTTTAATCAAGGGTGCAAAAATTTTGTTAAAAGTTTAAAGATAATCAAATTACAGGCCGATTTCGGTAATCCTTCGCCGACTCCGGCAGTTTGCCGTTTTTGCTGATCATAAATATTTGTTTATTATTATTATTTAAAAGCGATTTTTTCACAATCTCTAGAAAGATTAATGATAATATTTAGGTTTTATAAAAACATGTAAAAGGAACATCAAAAGTTGCATAAACAACGAAATAACAGGCCGATTCGGAAAAGAGTCAACTCGGCCCTATACCAACTCCAGTAGCTCGCCGATATTAGATCTCTTGTTAAAGTAATCAAAAGCGATTTTATTTTTAAAAATCTTTTCATAAATCATTGATATTGTTTATATTTTATAAAATTGCAAGAAAAAACTTAAAAAGTTTAATTATTACAAAGTTACAGGTCGATTCCGGTAATTCACCGCCGATTCCGGTCGATTCCGGTAATTCGGCCGATTCCGGTAAGTCGTATAAATATGTTACTCAGTAAAGATGTTTAGAGACATTCTTTAGTGATATTTACTTTGACAAAGGATGAAAGTGATATTCTATTATATGAATGTTTGATCAATTTTATATTTTTGACAAATTAGTAGACTTAATGGCAAGTATGATAGTATCACTGTAATTTAAACTTTTAAAATAAGGTTTCAGTTTTGTTTTATTTGAGTTTTCTTTTATTACTTTGACAGCAAGCGGTTCAGAGTGTGATGAGTCAAACTGACTCCCCCACAGGATCAGTGCCTCAACCCATGGAAACTGCAATGCCTGACAGACCTCTTGGGGATGAGTATTTCAGTTCAGGTGAGCTACTGAAGTATATTGATGTCAGTTTTAATATATTTTGATACCAAAGTTTATCAGGTTATTATGGTGTAGTTTTTGAGGTTGCTGAATTCATTCTGTGTGGTTCCAAGTCAGTAATAATGAAAATAGTGATAGCATATCCATATTTTTCTAGTTATGCTTAAAACTTTCCTATAGATGCAGTGATTTTTCTCACTTAATTAGGAAGAGACCTTAGCCTCTTGATTTTGGGGAAAATTATCGCTAAAATAGCTGATTTGGGAAGTATAAATTAAAAGCTGGTTAAAGTTCAGATTTTTGGGAAAACTGCATGATTTTAAAGAAAATTTCAATTGGGAAGAGTCCTTTTTTCGGAGTCTGTTATATAAGTAGGAAAATCACTGAGATGGTTTAGGTTATAAGAGCCTTCTGCCTTCAGTGATTCTTTCCTCACGTTTTCCTTAAATGTCCCCCTGATCTTATTTTTAAACTTTTCTGTATCTTGCTCAAAACATGCAATACACCAAATGAAATGTGAATATTGATGTATAAATTTCTCAAAGTTTATTATGCAACCATTTCTAATGTTTCTGATTATTGATCTTATAATTTGTTTCAATGAGTGTTTTTAAATTTAAAAATTTTTGCTTAATTTCATCATATTTTTTTAAATTGGCAACAAATTTTTCATACTATAGTATTTATAAGTAATTTATAAGAAAAAGCTTTAAAAAAGGGAAAGTACGAGAACATCTAAATTCTCTTGAAGTAATCATTTGAAATATAGCCCAGTTTAATGTTTTCAGGTATTTTAAGTGATCCTGTACCTTGGAGATCTGATGCAAATGTGATTGATGCAGCGACAAACTTTGACCCTGGGTCTGCTGCTGGAGCCATGCCCGGAACATCTGGTACTGGCCTTGGCTCTCATAACAAGAGAATGCTACATTTTCATGTTGAATACAGGAACAGAAATGTTGATGTATTTATAGAAGATAGTTGTACTGTTGGTAAGTTAAGATTTTAAGATGCCGTGTTTGTGTAAAACTTGTTCTTATATCTTGTTTATGGATATACATATCATAGTGTTTATTTTTATGGCTAGTTTGGAACCTGATTTTCATACCCCAATATATATATTTTTCAACTGCTTTTGAAATAATTTTTAATATTAATTGATGGTGAATTTAAGTCACTTCTCTGAGATAGTTAAGAGAAATTCCAGGTTCCTTGACTACAACTGTTGCAAATAAAATCAATGTTCTAGCAGTGAGTTTTCCCGCTTGTATATGGCCCTTTTACTATTCAACTTATTAGATTTGATAGAATAGAACTTTGTATACATTTTGTAAAATGCACAAGTTAAGTGTAAAATCCCAGGATACTCCTAAATTCATCGACTTTATTTTATGTACAATCTGCAACAATTGTGTAAATAAATCAGTTCTTTGGATAGATGGTTCAGAGTGTTTGACCTTTGAAGCACAGTCGAGACTAGGATTGAATTATTCACTTATGAAAAAAAAGATGAATAAAAAGATTAAACATTTCATATTAATTTGCATGATAGTACCTATGGAAATGAAAGTAAAGTGTATGCAACATTTGTACAAGATATATTGTAAATCAAATATATTTTTTTTTATCATTCCAGCTCAAATTAAAGAGCAGCTTAGCTTAGACCTTGGCATTCCTATCTGTAAACAGGAATTAAAAGGATGGGCAAACAGGAAGGTTACAGATAATGTAAGTTAAAGAAATGACTTTTAACTTATTATCACATACATGTACATATTCACTATGGCTCTCAAATAATAATCAATAAATGTAAAAAGTTGTATAGCAAAACATCCTAACAATTATTAAATTTTTAACCAGGTTTTCCGAAGGAAAAAACTGGTTATTAGATTGAGGTATGTCGGCGGGCGGACGGGCGGGCGGGCGTAAACAATTTCTTCTGTGCGCAACTCCTCCTACATTTCTCAACGGATTTTGACCAAACTTTCACAGAAGCTTTGTCATCAAGTGCCCTGGCGCATATTGTCGGGGTTTTGCGATTAGATAATATTTGACCTAATTATGGCCCTTTGTTTTTTTCCTCATATAAAATATATAGTGAACAATTTCTTCTGTGCGCAACTCCTCCTACATTTCTCAACGGATTTTGACCAAACTTTCTCAGAAGCTTTGTCATCAAGTGCCCTGACACATATTGCCAGGGTTTTGCAATTGGTATATATATGACCTAATTATGGCCCTTTGTTTTTTTTCCTTATATAGAATATATAGTGAACAATTTCTTCTGTGCGCAACTCCTCCTACATTTCTCAACGGATTTTGACCAAACTTTCTCAGAAGCTTTGTCATCAAGTGCCCTGACACATATTGCCAGGGTTTTGCAATTGGTATATATTTGACCTAATTATGGCCCTTTGTTTTTTTTCCTTATATAGAATATATAGTGAACAATTTCTTCTGTGCACAACTCCTCCTACATTTCTCAACGGATTTTGACCAAACTTTCTTAGAAGCTTTGTTATCAAGTGCCTGGCACATATTGTCGGGGTTTTGTGATTGGATAATATTTGACCGCATTATGGCCCTTTGTATATTTTTTCCTTATACAGAATATATAGTGAACAATTTCTACAGTGCGCAACTTCTCCTACATTTCTCAATGGATTTTGACCAAACTTTCACAGAAGCTTTGTCATCAAGTGCCCTGGTGCTCACTAAATTACCATGTTTCTTCCAAGACATCATTCAAGTATTTTTTTTAAAATTGTGAACATACTTTTCTTGATATGGCACAAAACACCACACGCCAATATTGTTGACAAAAGAAAATGACAAGAGACGCAAAAATGCAAAAATTAAGCAAAAATAAAGTACTGTTTACCTTTCTAAAACATTTGGGAAAAAAAGGCGAATAGACAACATAAAATTTCTCAATCATTTTTGTTTGAGGAATATTAAAAAAGCCATAATTCCTCCTAAAAGTTCAATTAAAAACAAATGCCCCTTCATGACAAAGCTTCTGTGAAATATTTTGCTGAAAACCTGGTTGCATCGCATTGCGATGTTCCTTGTTTAAATATATGAAAATAGGGTAAGAAGGTATGAGAAATTGTTTATTTTTCAGGCTCTACTAAGAGATTTACATTTACCGAAAGAGAACACATTGTTCCTGTTAACTCCAGACCTTCACCCAACAGATGGTACAGCGGGTTCTTCAGCCAGGTAAACTACATCCATCTCAATCTGTAACCTTCACACTCATCTATATAATATATGCACATTATTAACCTTAAAGCGGCCTTCAACCTTTCTACAGATTTTAAATATGCTATTATAAGCTAAATTGTTGTATATAATTCTCACATAAAAAAAATTAAGGTGAAAAATGAATTTGCCCTCGATAAAATACGGAGCAATAAGGAAACCCGTTGAAACCTCTAATCTACCGGTCTACTCTCTATATGTAAATAAGCAAGGCGGACGCTTCGTTTCCCGATCTCCTATTTTATAGAAACCAACATCGCTGGCATGCTATAAATACATGTAGCTCTCTGGACGCTTTGTTGAATAAGGCTTTACATGGATGTGTTGCACTTTTCGAAGATAAAAGTACTGAAATATTTAGTTTGAAACCACACAGAATTGTTTTTCCAACAAAAAATAAAAGCTTAAGGCCACTTTAATCACTTACGAATTACTTAGCTTCATTGACAGGGAGCCAGCATTATAAAGCCTGTCAGGTTACATGGATGCACACTTTCTTGCTCTTTATTGATGGCAAATACTATCAGTTTCACCATTGTAAGGATAATTTATGGCCACTTTTTTACTGTTTCAAATTTAAGTTTCTATCTCAGAAATGCTTTTTAGCTCAATTTTGTTGATGAATTGCTGTAAATAAAATAGAGACTGTGTATATGTCAGATTTCAAAGAATTAGATAAGCAGATAAAGTGGACATTCTTAAATTGAATCTTAAATTGAATTAGAATAATTCAAATGTTGTGGTTGCTCTTAATTGTAGCACCTGTTCAATAATCATGTTCTTATTCAAGTTTAAAAGAAATGATTTACTTACTATTCCAGTATAATTGACAACTTGAATAGAAGTTACAACTTAAAGATAACATGTAAAGAGGGAAGTAGATACAATCAGTTCAATCTCAACTTTCCAGGAACAAAAACAGTAGAAGAAGTGAGTACTCTTGTTATTATATTAGCCCCACCTTGTCATACAAGATACTGTTTAATTATTAGAGGTTTTGTTTCGAAATTTACCTTATGAATTATTGTTTTAAAGTTTGCTTTATAAAGTATTGTTTCAAAGTTTAGATTATAAAATATTATTTCAAAATTTACCTTTTAAAGTATTGTTTCAAAATTTGCCGAATAAAGTATCATACTTTAAACTTCTAGTTCATTTTTGGTCAAATTGTAAGATGTAAAATATGTCAACAAGAATCTATTATTTTCTTCTGTTATTTATTATTATATTTAGCTTTTTCCCACGAAAATTCTTAACAGATGATGAAAGAAAATCTCAGGGAATACAAAAACATTCAAATACATAAATCCATGTGTCATTACAACTACTCATGTTTTTCATTTGATTTTTTGAATTTTTGTAACATTTAAGGGTTCTCAGAATATTATAACAAAAACAAGCTTAGATTTCAAATCTTACCATTTTTTCCAGGTGAAAAGGGATATATTTAATGTATCAGATATCCCAGTAAGACATCAAATCTGGACTGGATGGCCAGAGACTACTGAAGATTCTGTAAGTTTTATTAAACTGATATTTATCATATGCATGTGAATTATTGTTAATTATAATGATTTATGATAATTTGTACTGACCTTGCTGATTAATGAAAAAATTTATTGACTTGTATATTAAGCTTGATTATTCAAAGGATAGAGAGAGCTGTTGTACTAACCCTGGCTTTGCCATCACTGTCTTACTTTATTGAAGTTTTTGCAAGCACGTTGGTGTACCAAAACTACTGAAGGAAATAGGTTTTAACTTCACATACTTAATGAGAGCATTATAGGAGGTCACTGCCCAAGGCCTTTAACTCTAAAATGTATTTTAACAGAATTATGGCCCTTTTTTAACTTAGAAAGTTTTATATTATCCATGCTCTCATTTTTGTAAAAATCTACAATCAGGCACTGAAAATAGTCTAGTATGCTGACCTACAACAGCTCTTATTAATGATTTATATTTACTTAGCTAGCTAAAAACATATTTATTGTCTTGTATTTTTTAAAAAGTTTGATTATGTCATTAATCCATCCAAGTTTATTGACTACATAATAGTGTAACCAAGATGATTAATCCTGTAAGTCCATTGATCTGATGTATGTATTATATTTGTATTTCAGAAAACTATAGGTTGTATTGGTCTGTCATACCCCAGTCATATGTTAGAGCTTTCCAGATCCAATCTTAGTTCTACCAGTCGAAAAACGGCACAGGTTTGTGTATATTTTATAGTTTCATATGCAAAAAAGCTTTAACTTTATGCCTGCAGAGATGGATATTAATGTCAGTAATTCAGGATAACATTTATGTCTGAGTAATAGAATAAAAAAAACAAGCATTATGATTGCTACTTTCGTAACCTTTAGCATTTAAAGTTACATCATCATTTTAACATTTGCCCTAGTCTTGAGATTTAAAAGCAGAAAGACCTGGTGTTGTGCTTAGGATGGGATAGCCTATTGATTAAGGTATCTGGCTCTCAACCAAAAGATTGTTTGTTCATATAACACCACCACATGATCTCTGACAAGATTTAAGTTGTTTTATGGGTGGCGTCCTTGGCTGAGTGGTTTAAGGCATTGACTTCGAACTACTTGCCTCTCACTATTATAGGTTCGAGCCTTGCCATCTTCAGTATTTGGATTCTTCATGTGAGAAAGCTATCCAATTGGCTTATGAATCATTGGTGGTTCTACTAGGGTACCGTTTTGTGTCTGAAATAATATACAGAAGGGTCAAACCCCCCCCCCCCTCCCCCCCAAAAAAGTGGTTTGTTATATTGAACTACAGTTTATATAAAATAGAAAGTTCTAGATTAATATATATGTGCATTACGTAATAGTCAATAAGTTTTATCATGTATGATTTATAACTACACAGGAAGTTGTACACGAAATTGAGATCAGTGAAGACGAGGAAGAAGATGATTTCCAGGCAAATGTTTATGATGATTCGGAACTCTTCTCACATGATGATCTTCCAGGCAGCAGACGAAAACAAGATCCATTAAGTATGATTTCATATTATTGATTAACTGTTACAACTCTAACTATAACTGTTCTTACTTGGTTTAAAGTGTGAAGATCATGATAAGCTGTATAGGTCATTATTTTGAAGGCGAAGGTCTAACATTTTGCAATAAGGTCTTAATTGGTCATAACTTTCGTTGTTGCCAAAGTGGATTTTATCAGATGTAGTGTCCTTTTGTTCTAATGAAAATAGATTTGAAATACAATGACTTAGTTGTTATTCTACAGTATCCTGTTTTTATGTTGCTTTTTATTGATGCTGACATGTTGTACATTGTAATTGTAAAATGATATGCAGAAAATCATGTCTGATATAACAGTAAATGATGACTTCATTTAATGATTTTTACTTAAATCTATAATATTCATGTTAGGTTCTAACTATAAAACAATAACAGTTTTATTTTGATTTGATCAGATTGCACAAGCAATCAGTAGATCAGTATTACATCATTTACGATAGTTTTATGTTAATGAATATTGCATGAATGACATGTTATGTTACAGTGCCTGAATCAGTGAAGGATGAAACAGAGGCTTTAGAACACTTTACACGAGAATTTAGAGAAAGGTATTGTTCTGTTTTTTGTAATCCTAGTTTTTTTAAAACTTTTCATCAAATTAAAATATTTTTTAAAAATCATGAAAGTTTCATTTTATTATTTAAGTAAAAGTAATGACTAACTACCTAAAATATATTCTTAACATTAAGAATTTGAGTATGAGATTTGGTTGTGTCATTGACGGAGCCTGGCTGTTTATCTCGTATATAGATGCATTCTGTACTCTTTTATTGATCTCATACTTCTTGACTTCAAACCACTTGCCCCTTTCTGATGTGTGTTAGTATCCTTTTTAGGGAATGTGGATTCTTTCAAGATTAAGTTTATAACATGGAAAATTTTAACAGAAGTTCCATTTTATATTTGTGCTCTTTTTAGATATGGAGAAACTCACCCAGTATTTTATGTTGGCTCTTTAGACAATGCCATTAAAGATGCACTTGTAGTAAGTGCAAAAGAGGTAAGTTATTAACAAAACATGGTCATATCACTGTTTTATCTGGGACTTAAAATGATGGGATAAGCAACTATCGCTTTCTTATCAGTCTCTATGTTGGTGTCTAGTTGATATTGTCCAAGCTAAGTGTTGTGTTTCAATGCAGTAATTACCGTACAAGCCGGACTCATTATGTGCATAAATTTTCTGTATGTCCCAGGTTTTATAAAGGAGAACATTTAAAGTGTCATTTCTTGTTGATAATTGACAATTGGAGATAAAGAGTAATTTGTAAGAAACTTAGGAGAAATTTTCTAAAGATTGTGACAGCTTTCATTGCACATCATCTTTGTAAAATTGTTATTTATCTGTTTTTTGAAAGACTTCAGCCTTATATTTGTTTGCATTATCTTTTCAAGCCTCTTTTTGTTGTTTGAAATTTATACATGTATGTATATATTTTATTTCAGAGGAAGTTGTTAGCAATCTATCTCCACCATGACACCAGTATTCTGGCCAATGTGTTCTGTTCACAAATCTTCTGTAATGAAGGAATAGTAAATTATCTAACCAACAATTTCCTAACATGGGCCTGGGATATGACCCTTTCTACAAACTCTGCAAGGTGTGTGTTAAGCTTCTTACATATCCTGTCATAGTATTCAGGCAAAAATCTGGTGCATATTGAACTAAAGGGTTTTCTGTAGAGGGTGGGTATAGCTGTTAGTTTGAAACTCATTTAACTTCTAGATTTGATCTGAGTTAATGAAGTTTTGAGCATATCTAAGACATTGTCAAGTGTGCTTATTAGACCTAGCCAGAGGTTTAGATTCCTTTCATAAAGATCAAATCCACATCCACTTAATTGTTACCAATGAGTGTAGTCAATTAGGATAAGTCTACTTTTAATATAAGTCCTGTATAATGTTAGTTAAAAAATACAAGCAGTTGTTAGCAAGCCTTGTCAATTAGTCAATGTAATTTTTTTCATACAGGCATATTAACCTTAGTCTGAAGTTTAATTTTGAAATGCTTTTGCTTTTAAATCTTACATATAATACTGAAAAAAATATAGAGAGCTCTACCATATTGTAGTACAAGTGTTTAAATAAGATAATATTTTCAGATTAATCACTATGGCAACCAGACATTTTGGAAGTGTAGCAGCCAATCAAATACGGAGTTATAAACCTGATAATCTTCCTGTACTGTTAATTATATCAAGGTCAAGGGCAACAAATGAAGTTGTGGATGTTATAAGAGGTAAACATATTATTTTATTGGAAATAACAGGTCATTCTTACAAGGTGCTATATAAGACATATTTCAGTTGTAACACATTGTTAATTTTTAAAAGGATAAGACAAACATATACATTAATGTTTACTGACGAGGACCATCAACCGCACACTTTTTGAACATTTTTTCACACAAACTTCATAAGTGTATAGCTTGAGATCTAAAAATTTGACAAAGTACAGCTAGGTTCTTCTCCTAACTAACAAACTAGATTGTTTAGTTCTGATTATTTTGACACATCTGAGGCCCATCAAGGAGGGTACCTAATTATCTAAATTGTCCACACTACAGTACCATGTGTCTGGACAAATATGTAATGACGCTGATTTAATTCAGAAAAACGGTTGGGTGTTTTAAATGTTATATATAATATTTCTACAGCAAATGCTGAAGTTTTGGATATTTTGTTGTTTATTCTGCAAATGATAATAGCTAAGTATAAGAGGTCAGGTATAGCACTCTTGACCTCCAAATAGTCAACGTTCTTTAAATAGACATTTAAATATTACTGTTTACTTTAATTGAAATAAATTCAATAACTTAATTATAGAATAAATATGCATTTATTATTGATAAAAAGTGACTGATAAATTGATAACTACTGTACAAAGAAAAAAACCAAATCAGGCATTTTCGGTGCCATCCGGTTTTGTTAGTCTCTAACCAGTACTGTAACATTTTATAATTTTACAGGAGATGTAACTGTAGATGAACTGATGTCAAAGTTAATACAAGATCAGGAGGTATTTTCACAACAACAACAGAGGGATATAGTAGAGGAGGTAAAGTACAATTATGTCTTAATTGGTGTACTAGAGGGCTTTTCTTGCCAAAATTGTGAAGGGGTCTCGGCCTGGTCATTTTGTGAAAAAATAACACAGTAAATAGGACAATTGTGAAAAAGTAATTTTTGAACAAATTAAACTTTAAAGGGGAGATTGCTTTAAATATTTTAAGTCACTGATTAAAATTGGTAAAAAAATGAGTTTATACACGTTTATCCATATCCTATTGGATTTATAAAGTAGAACAAAAACAATCTATTATCTATTATCTAAAATCAAAGTATGATAATTTGCAAAATCTGCAAGAATTGTGAATTTTTTCCCTCTGTTTTGTGAAAAAAAGTGAAATTTTGGATTGTGAAGGGGCCTTTTATAGGCCCCCATTATAGAAGGTAAAAAAGCCCTGTATATAAAATATATATAACAAATAGGTCATCAATGTTTAATTTTTACTTGAAAGTATCTTATACGAACGCCTGCAAGGCTCTCAGATTTAGGCATAAAATGTTTTCCCTATATTTAGTGATTAATTTATCCTAGTGGTAATGATAATTGTTTTAGTTTATACAAATTACAATATTTAGGAATTTTTATACATTTATAATTTGTATCATAGTTTGGGGACCTTTCTGTTGAAAATGTGTCGAGAGTTAAATCGTATACATATACATGCAGAGTGCGTTAACTGGAGTGCAGGTATTAGTTACCCATACTTCAGAGCATTCCCATTGATTGGCTCATTTTTGCTGGGGTTTACTTATTGTGACTGCAGAGAAATGGAAACAATAGAAATATTATATTCAGATGCTCGTTCATTGGTGACTTTTTTTCTGGGGTTTCATATTGTGACAACAGGGAACGTGTTTTGAACATCAAAACACGCCCCCTCGTACAAATCAGATAGCATTGTGTTTCGATGCTCTTTGTATTACATATAGAGCTATCTTTCTGTCTAAAAATGTGCTTGAGGAAGGGATGCTTGATATTGATATTTGTTTTATTGCTCTGGTATTTTATAAATGATTTGTGTTACAGGCTGAACGTGAGGCTAGAGAAAGTATCAGAACAGAGCAGGATGCTGCATACAAAGAATCTTTAGAAGCAGATAGAAAAAAGGTCTGTCTTACTTTAAACTGCGTATTATAGTGCGTCAATATGTTGAGTTTCAAATGAACAAGTAGATAAAATTGTGCAGAGTTTGAACAATAGTACATTTATGTTATTTTATATATATAATGACTGCAGTGATAAGTATTTCTCATTGGTATTTGAACAAAATATGGGTACTGATTTTGCTTATATTTTGGATATGCTATCAATTGTTCATGTGCTAAATTTCAAACTGATTGATTCTGTTCATATTCCAAACTCTGCTGATAACTGTTATATAAATTATCTTTAGCACAAGTTCTTGTCATTAAGGAAACATGAATATTTATGTTTGTTCCATATTGTTAATTATGTTGTTTGAAGAAATTGATTTATGATGATTTTAATTATTTGGTTTACTATAAAAACTCCTGATATAAGGAATGATGTTTGAGTGTCTTAGTGAGTGTCTTAGTGTGTGCAATATTTGAAATTCTTTCTTTTTGTGTTCTTTAACAGAAAGAAGCAAGGCAGGCTGAAGAAAGAAAACAACAAGAGATAGAGAGAAGAGAGAGGATGAAGAAGGCAGAAGAAGAAAGGAAAAAGATGGAAGATGAAGCAATGAAACAGGTAATAATTGTGGGGGGGAAATAATTTCCATACTGGGTCATACTTTTTATCATATAAAATTTACAATGTAGAGTGGCAAGTTCGCAGTTCATTTTCAGTATTTGATAGAAAAGTCATTCTGATTGTGATTGTGACGGTTCCATAGTCAAAGAATAGCTAGTCTTTTGTACAGATTAAGCATTGTTACATAAAAATAGGTGCTAACAACTGTCTCTGAGAATGGATTCCTGGGTTCACTGGTGCAATTTTTGGGTGGGGCTAAAATTCCTTGATAATTTAGTTTGATATTGAGTTCATTTGTCTTTCACTGCTGATTTAGAAATCATGTAGGATAAGTACTTGGTTACTTTTGGAGTAATTGGTAATTACCAGTTAGTCATCTTTGAAAGCCGTTGGTTAAGCGATTGCCGAAATATGACTAAAATATGTTTATTAGCCTGTAAGTTGGTGGTCAGGAGTATGAAACCCATGTCAACGTTAATTTCCAGATGTGTTTGTATCTTTTTGTTCTAAATTGAATAAGCATTGTTAAGATTTGTTATTTATATAATTTGTAGGCAATACAAGAATCCCTAGCGAAAAAAGTTCCTGACGAGCCACCAGAGGGTTGCACAGAAGTTACTTGTACATTACGTATTCGTACACCAGACCGACAGATGTTGTTACGAAAATTTTATGGCTCCAACAAATTAGAAGCTGTTGTTAACTATATAACGTCCCAAGGTTTTCATATGACAGATTACAAATTATTGACAACATTTCCACGGAGAGATGTAAGTTTTATATTAGATAACATAATTTTGTGTTTGCATTATTAAAATTTAGTGCAAGTATAAGTTTTTGAGACAGTTAATGGTTATTTATAGATTCTGTACTTTTCTTACATTCTTTTCTGCTTGTAACTTCTACATGTTTTATTGAAAGAAAGGACATTAAGAAAAATAAAAGAAAGGCCAAATTGGTCTCAGTAAATTGTATGCCAAGTGCCTGCAGAGTCTGAAGTCCAGGTATCTGATGCTCTACCTACGTTCTAATCAGATGGGCACTATATGTACATTTACATCACTTATTTATATTTTATGTCAAATTACAAATATAAAAGTTTGTTTGAGATAAGAATTGATCTTTATCATGTATTGAGAGAATAGTTCAGATGAATGTCTTTTTAAACACTAATGAAGTACAGTTTAGTCTTTGAAATAATGTGAGAAATTACAGTTAAGAAATCATGTGAGACAAAAAACTAATCAAATTTAGTGATTGAAATATGTTCATTTTTGTCATTTTGTCCAAATATTTTGAATGATTTAAAATGAGTTTTGTTTATTGTATATTTCAGTTATCTGACAAATCTTTTAAAAGTCAAACTTTAGAAGCTTTAAAATTGTGTCCACAAGAAACTTTAATTCTTGAAGAACGTACAGACTTACATGATTAAAGTGCCATGAACGGATCTGCTCTAGTATGTGTTACAGTGTACAAATATATGTGTGTATGTTACACAAACATCTTCATACATATATCCCTGTGGATTAAATGATTGAAAGGAATACATGGATGGTGAAGTTTAAAGTGAACATGTTTTGTGTTAACACACAGTCTTTTGACAATAAAATTGAATGAAATTCCCTCTTCCAATTATATGTATGATTGTAAATTCCTACCGAAGTTCAAGGCTAAGCCAGGCAGATTTTGGTTAGTATCATATACATGAGTCTTCATTTATCATGTTTTAGGTAAGGCTATTTATTAAGACTTGGGTCAGAATACACATTGTGTTGTTTTTTTTTAATGTTTGGTATCAAAAACAAATGTTTCAAATGCTTTGTGATCAAAATGAATTATTGTAATGTCTCGGGAAAGACAGATATGTAATCTATTTCTTATACAATGTATAAGATTTGTAAAACTTGTAATAACTTAATTACTTATAATAAAATGTATTTATAGTGTTTCTATTTGTATTTGAAATGAGGGATATAAAAAAAAAAATTTTTTTTCTTAATTTGTTACCCTCTCCGGAAGAGAACAAAATTCTTAAAACCTGTGTATACTAAAGAAATATTGGGCGGGAACTTTTGATTCTGGTACACTGACTGAAGGATGATTTTTTCTTTGTTTTGTAGTTGCATCGCCTATGTTTCTTAAAATAGGCAAACTCTTGCTGTCATTGTCCATACTATAATAAAATATGTATACACTTAATCAAATAAAATATCAAATACTTGTAAATCTTTATAGACTTAACAAGATTTGCATATTGGTGCTTCGTCTATTACTGTATGTACAAAATTAATTTAACATCTTCAACATGTGTTATTGGTTGATTCAGATATTTTACTTTGGTTACAGAGATCTTAACTTTTTAATGAGACTTTATAACAACTTCTATGGCTAATTTTAGCTTTTAAACAAACATTAGATAATGATGTGAAATTTATTGTTATACCCCCGCACAACAAAGTTGTAAGGGGGGTATACTGGAATCAGCTTGTCCGTCCGTCCGTCCGGCCCTCCGTCAGTTTTTTCTTGTCCGCCCAATAACTTAAGATTCCTTTGACCCTTAGTCTTCATATTTGGCATGGAGGTTAGTCATGATTAGTAGATGTCCCCTATTGATTTTGAGGTCACTAGGTCAAGGTCACAGGGGCCTTGACTTCAAAAAGCTTGTCCGCCCAATAACTTAAGATTCCTTTGACCCTTAGTCTTCATATTTGGCATGGAGGTTAGTCATGATTAGTAGATGACCCCTATTGATTATCAGGTCACTAGGTCAAAGGTCAAGGTCACAGGGGCCTTGACTTCAAAAAGCTTGTCCGCCCAATAACTTAAGATTCCTTTGACCAACAGTCTTCATATTTGGCATGGAGGTTAGTCATGATTAGTAGATGACCCCTATTGATTTTGAGGTCACCAGGTCAAAGGTCAAGCTCACAGGGGCCTCAACTTCAAAAAGCTTGTCCGCCCAATAACTTCAGATTCCTTTGACCTACAGTCGTCATATTTGGCATGGAGGTTAGTCATGATTAGTAGATGACCCCTATTGATTTTGAGGTCACCAGGTCAAAGGTCAAGGTCACAGGGGCCTTGACTTCAAAAAAGCTTGTCCGCCCAGTAACTTAAGATTCCTTTGACCCACAGTCTTCATATTTGGTATGGATGTTGATCATGACTATAAGGTGACCCCAATTGATTATGAGGTCACTGGGTCAAAGGTCAAGGTCACAGGGACCTTGACATAAAAAAGGTTTTCTTCTCAATTGCTAAAGAATGTCCTGTCCGCAATGTATTGATTTTGACATTTTCACATTTGAAGCATGTAGAATACATAACTTAGCAATGCACTGGCTTAGTAACCTCAGATTTGGCAGGGAGGTTGTCCTTGAGCTCTAAATGACCACTGTTGATTCTGACAAAGTGGTATGCGGGGGTATTCACGCCATGATAGTGGCAGTTCTAGTTAAGTTAGTGGGGCTATGAATTAAAATTTGTTCATGAAAGGGTTATATATGATTTTTTACAGTATTATTTTATATACATGTTATAAAATCTTAGTTACACATAATGTCAATTAGAATATAAACAAACTTATGATTATTTTTCAACTGTTTCTATAACATGTTGAGACCAGATGATATAATTCTATTTTTAAACTTTTGTAGAATCAAATAATTTGATGACTTGATTTATTTGTTAACATGGTAGAACTTTTTTTTAATAACAGATGTACAACAAAGTTCATTGTGAACCAAAACTCACATTGAAACATGCTTTAAATACATGTATTATTATAAATTTATTAATTTCAAAGTTAATTTGGTCATTCAGATTTAAAGACTTTAAAGTGTTATTTCCACAAGGGATGACATGATTTTTAAAACATGTATAGATGATACATTACCTTCGACTTGTGTAAAAAACAAAATTTGTATAAGTATATGTAGTGTACTAGAACCTGTTTTCTAATGTGATAATGTAATTTATAAATTTTTGTTGTATTATTTTGTTTTTGCTTGAACCCCAAACTGTTATTACTAATTATGTTTCTGTTCTATAACTCCCCATCAGCTATAACTGTTCCACATTATCAATGTCCTTAACCCCACTTCCCATTTTGAATTTTGCTAGATCATCATTTTAGAAATGTCAATACAGGAGCAACATCATGTCATATATGACCTGTCTTCATAGTTTATATATAAATGGTGTAAACCCCTCTAAAGGATAGGTCTTAAATAAATTCTGTGCAATTTGCCATTGGTAGTTTTCAGTAATCTGTCCAATACGTAAAGATGTATGAATGTTCAATCTATTATAATTTAAAAACTATTTACTAGAATTTCAATTAATTTTACTATTATACTGATAATTTATGATTAAATGCAACTTTTTTGTCTAAGTTTAGTAGTATGGTGCAACATATGTACAACTTCAAACTCACATAAACAGGTTTTCAAGTCTAGTACCATTAAGTTATTAATAATAAAATTGTATATAGATATTATGATAATATTTATTCATTCCCAAAACAGCTTAAATGTCCTGTGAAACACTGCCTTGCTCCTGTTATATGAATAGTTAGTTATACATTATACATCTAATTTCTAAATGTCATCTTGTAAAGGTAAAACCCTTGCATGGTTTTAAGTCAACCGTGCTAGTTATTATAGCACAAATATTATGTTTTGATTGCAAAGAGAGAGAACAATTGCTGAAATAAAATGATACAAAATTCATACTGTTTTTGTCTTTTCTCAGGTGATAACTAGAAATGCGTTTCATTACTTTCATAGTCAATACACAATATATATACACAAGTTGAAAATTGCAAATTTATACTAAGTCAAGGGCATTAATTCTAACAAAACTGAATTAATCCTCAAGCAAAACCCCAGGTGTACAGCTTTATGTGCTAATGAACATTCCTGAAAAGTTTGTTGATTCTAAATGAAGCACTTTTAGACATGTTAGAGGTACACATGACATAACATTTTAGAAGAGATTTTTACTAAATCCAGGGCAATTACTCAACAAATCTTTTTAAATATACAAGCAAATCCAAAGATGAACAACTACACATGCTGACCAACATTTCTATAAAGTTTTATGATTAGGTAAAAACAGAGACATAGATAACAGATAAGCAGCTCCTATATACTCCATTGAAATATCACTCATGCCTATCAAAAAGTGAAAAATTAGGCATTTTGTAGCAAATAAAACTTAATGTTGGTACATTTGATCCTTTAATATTATATACCATTTGAAAGGTAAATCTTTTATCTATTGCTGCATGTTAAAATATTTGTAACTTTCCATGCCTTTCACCTAGAAAAACATAGCATAACATACCCACTAAGCCAGTTTTTTTGTCAAATGAATAGTTTTGTAACAAAAATTAATAGGTAGTTCTCTTTAAAAACTGATGTATCATTTATTAAATGGGAACTGTAAATATTTTTACCTGCAGCCATAGACAAATGCATAAGCTTTCAGAAAATGTATTATTTTCCTGATTTTGATATCTGGTTAATAAGTTTTACTTGCTACAAGTTTTAAGTTTATCAGGAACGCGTGATATTTTAACTGGTTAGGAAGTTGCCTATCTCTGTTATCTATGTCTCTGGTAAAAAAAAACGTTTGACTACGCATGACACTAGTTGAAAATTGCAAAATATTTACTACCCGGTATGTCAAGGGCAATTACTGTACAAATATAAACCCCCAGGTGCACAACTTGACATGCTGATCAAAATTCCTGTAACCTTTCATGACTCCAAATTCAATTTAGCTAAAGATGTTGTGACCACCTGAGGTACTCGGACATCAGCTCATAGTATCCAAAATTGAAGGCCATCTATGAATAGCCATATTTTCAAAATTATTCAAAGTGAAATTACTTCATTGATATGAACAAAACTTTCATGCTTAGATGATGCCTGTTTAAACTTTAAACAAGTAATAATGCAAAAGCATGACAGTACTATATGGTGGAACACTGTCAGCTGTTACAAAACCTAGAACAGACATACCATCGATCCAATAATCAAAATGATTAGCATACTTTGTTTATATTTGTCAACAATACTTCTCGGCAACGTTAACAAATATTTTTTTCTTCTTTGTTAAAGTACATTTGTTTCTTACATTTATAATTATTTCTTATGCAAACTCTGTTATATATATCATAACATTTGTTCATACTGGTTAACAATACTTCTCGGCTAATTGTAACTTGTAACACTTTACACTATACAGAATATGATTTGACTATAAATTGTATGTTTACAATTTTATGTTAAATAAAATTTATGTTATGTTATGTTATGATTAGCATACTTTGTTTTACTATTTGCTGAATGTCCTATACTTGTAAACTTGAAAGTATACAAAAATTTAAATTGAACCCAATCATGCTCTGGTTTTAAGGTAATATTGACTTTGACCATGTGACCCAGAAATCTATAGGGGTGTTCAACCTAATATGGACAATCATCCTATGCAGTTTGAACACTGCTTTAGTTATGTTCCGGAAACTGTTTTCAGTTAATAGTAATAATGACCTTGGGACCCCAAAATCAATAGAGGTCTTCTACCCAATACGGACAATCATCCTATGAAGTTTGAACACTGGGCCAAATGGAACTGAAGTTATGCTCTACTGTTTTCAGTTTTAAGGTAATAGTGACCTTGACCTTTGACCCCAAAATCAATAGGGGTCTTCTACCCAATAAGGACAATCATCCTAGTGTGGGCTAGATGGAACTTAAGTTATGCTCCGGAAACCAAATTGCTAACAGACGGACGGACAGACGCCAGGGGGTATAACATAGTATTCCTGAAATTCTTTCGGGCACATAAAAATCCAGAAGTAAAAACAAGATTTAGTAGACATTTGTCTAAGTTATCTGCCCTTGAAATGACCTCAAATAAGTAAATATTTCTGATTCAAGAGTAACTCAAATGTGAGATCGATGACACCCAATTTTTTTCCGGTTAAAATATTTTGTCATTATATTCTAACAGCATGCCAAGTTTAAAGAAATTTTAATGAATAGTTTTAATTTCTTCCTATATGTTAATAAAACCTCCCCCAAAAAAAACGTTTATAATAAAACTTAAAGTACAACTATTTTTCAACTCTCGTACTAGTTTAAGTGTCTCAATTATAAGCTTCATCCGTACGTAAGTTATATACATTGGTTTGACAGATAAGTGATATGGTAAAATGACAATAAACAAATGATAATTTTTCACTTTTATTCTAGACAAATAAATAAATATTACAATATTTTCAGAGCACAATTAGTATATCAATAACCTAAATAAAGCTATATGATAAATTGGCTCACTAAAACCTACAGGTGTAAATTTTTCATTTAAGTTTTTTTTCTTCTGAAATTACAGGTAAAACTTAAAGATAATTATATATTCACAGTGTTTGTATTAATCTACATATCTGTAATATGAACATACACAAATGTACATAAATAACTAAAGGTATTTAAATGAAGCAGTGTCTTTGAATGTATAAATATTTGCAATTCACTTTTTTATTCTCCCTTCTAAAATGATCATATTTATAATAATTAAAACTTGCAGCTAATGTATATCTTCTCAACCAAGAATTTGTCATGTAAGCTGCCCTAATACTAAGTTAAAATTAATTATTGCTACTCCGACATTACATAATATCAGATAACTTAACCAATTTGTCTATACTTTATACATTACAATGGGAAGAAATGCAACTATTTTCTACATTTCAGTAACAAAAACAGTTTTAACATGTCACTTGTTTTGATGATCACTAAAAGATTACATTAAAAACATTATCACAGTTAGCTATACACAATCCATTTTAAAAACTGTCTGGTCAGTGCAGTGTTAAGTTTTGGCCATCTCAAGGTCCACTAACTGCAGGGCTTCTTTGAAGGATAGTTTCTTTCTTCTGTGTTTCTTTATATACTGCAGAAGAAGAAAAATAAAGTTCATGTATAATAATACAAATTATTTCAAGTTACTTTGAACATCATTACTACAATGTACTAATTATTGACAGATTTGAATTACAAGTACATATTTATGATCTCACGTCTGTACGTGCTAAACTTGCAAGTCATTCCTTAATACAAAAATAGCTGTCAATTTCTCAGGTACCAAAATATTTCCCATGAATAAAAAAAATTCACCAATACAGCTTGAATAATGGATGCTGAATGCAAATATGACTTTATGATGTAACTTTGATATTCAGATTTCTGCAAGCAAGACCTGGGAAGGGCTTAATCTTATGTTGCTAGAATTTGTTACCCAACCCATTAAAGGTAATGACAGCGTGTAACTTATAAAATCATGTTACCTTTTTAGTATCTTCTAGAGTTGTATACTTGAAGGTTGGTTTAATATTTCTGGTAAAGTCCTCGTACATTTGTTTCTGTGAGGACAGGAATTCTTTTGTCATCTCCATCTGTGCTTTCAACATATCATGTAGGGCAATCATGGCAGGGCTATATGCTGTCATAGCTGACAGAATAAATAAAATAAAGATTACATTGTATACATGTAATTTAATAAGGAAATGTCTTTTCTAGAACAAAAATTATGTCAGATAAATTTGCTTTTTAAATTACATTATAAAATAGTCTTTAAAGGATTTTGTGCAAGTAAATATGACTACTTTAATTTTTATTCTGAAAATTTAATGGCCATCTTTTATTTAAATATTTATTTGGTATTGATAAGACCCTACAAAGACCTTATGTTTGGAAGACAGACGACACAGAACTTATGTTTAGAATAACAACAGATTTCTCCACAAACATTGACATGTGTTCTTTTGTTAACAAATATCTTATGGTGAAATTTTGCAAATCCACTAATCTATCATTCAATATGGACAGATTAAGATCATGTAGGCATCTATGCATCCACTATTTTACATATATTAACATATAAAACTCTGCATTCTAAAGGACCCTTTCACAAGAGTTTTCTGTGTAAAATTTATATATTGTACTTCTAGGTTATCTTACTTTCAAGAGCGTCTTTGCTGATACAACATGTGTTGCTATTGGAGTAGGATCAACAAAATGAAGTCCATGTGGAACACCTTGAAAGGCCAGTCCAGAGCCTGTTGGGTCCCAAGAATATAAAATCCCATCCATAGCTGTCTGTGCCTCAGCTGTGGTCATGCCGCGCCTTGGACGTGGTGTTACATCAGAACGGGAAGTAGTTGGCACCAAAACTGGTAAAACAGAAGATGTGTGATTTTAATTACATGTAGTTTATAAGATAATTTTCTATATCTTGATCTTGCATAGAATTAGTGTAAAGTAATGTATCTTCATGCATTGTACATGTATTTTGAATATGCATTGTGTTTTAAATATGCATTGTTTTATTAAGTAAATGATGTAAATTATGTATATTTTATCAAATTCTTACAAACCTAGTAAAAAAGCTAGCTATAAAGAGAATACAATGAACAACTTGCTCAAGTTTAAACAATTGATAGCTTTTTAAATAAATGGTCATCCAAGAACCATTACAACTATAAAATTTTATTTTCACTAACTTTTTCAAACAATAGGACCAACATGCTTTTTCACCAATATACATGTATAACATCTATCATTACCATAAGTGTGCTATCATGTCAACTTGTATTATAGTTAGGGGACCTTTCGGCTGAAAATGTGTCTGAGTTAAACCATATAAATATACATGCACAGTGCATTAACTGGAGTGCAGGTATAAGTAACCTACACTCAAGAGCATGCCCATCGATTGGCTCATTTTTGTCTGGGGTTAAAGTATTGTGACATCAGAGAAAGGGAAAGCGATAATGATATCATATTCAGATGCTTGTTCATTGGTTCTTTTTTTGAGGGGTGTCATATTGTGACAACAGGGAACATGTTTTTATTTTTAACTATGATACAAAAGAGAAAGAATATCAAAAAACACTCTGCAATCTGATTTATACTCAGGGGCTACGCCCCCTCGTACAAATCAGATAGCCTTGTGTTATGATGCTCTTTCTATCATTTACAACTAGTTGGCATATGTGCAGGAAAAATAAACAAAATGTTGTACAAAGATGTTAAGATCATAAAATTTTTTAAGAAAATTGCCTAGTCATACCTTTTAGTGAAATCCTCAGAATACTCAGAATAACTCTCACTGTATGTTTTATCATCTTCATCTTCTGTAAATTTAGACTCAGATATCACTGTTTCTGTGTCGCTCTCTGTGAACTTCCGAGTCACTTCTCACTGTCTCATCACCACTGTATTTTGTTCTCACCTCTGACGCTGATGATCGTCCTCTGTCACTGCTGTAACCTATCTTCTCAATATACTATCAAAATCTTCAGTATAATTTACTGTAGAAGGTTTAGTCGTTTCATAATCTGTAGCAATTTCAGTTTCAGTGTCTTCGAATTTCTGACTATAACTGTATGCACCAGGTTTCTCTGTTCTTATCTCTTCAGACACTTCACTGTTTACTTCTTCTACCTCACTTCTTACACTGTCATACTCACTCTCTTTAATAGAATGTCCCATTAAATCATCTATGGTCTGTAATCAAATGAACTAAAAAGGTCATTTCCTGAAGCCTTTTTACCTTTCGACCTTTCCTTCGAACGCTCTTTTTTTCTTTTTCTGTGCCTTTTTTTGAGCTTTTGCCACGTGACTTGACTGGAGAACTTGTTCTGCTGGTATCTGACAAATCTGACCGGTCAGAGCTACGAGCTTTAAATGGAGAGCTGCTCTTATTTGAAGCTTTAAACAAGACCCCTCATTGCTGGCTCTAAATGGGGAACTGTCTGCCTTTGCTTTGAATGGAGATTCAGTATTAGCTGCCTTGAATGGAGATTCATTCCTTTTGTTATTAGCTTTAAAAGGTGAATCATTCCCACCTGAGCTGGCCTTAAATGGAGATTTGTCCCTATCATTACTGGCTTTAAATACTGAAGATTCTTTGTCAGCCTTTGCTCTAAATGGGGATTCATTATTCTTTTTACCTTTCAGAGACGTTTCAGAGGTTGATTTTGTTATAGATTTATTTCCTCTCCCTTTCTTTTCTTTCTTTGTTTTTCTTGCAGTAGATCTTACAGGAGATGGGGAATTGCTACGAGAGATTGGGGTATCAGGTCTAGACAGAGGTTCAGCATCATCTACAGGTCCAAGGTCATCTAAATCCATTACCACTACAAAACAAAAAATTCCATAGGTTAACACAAGAAATACAAGTTAGAAAAATTTAGTTATATGAAACAACTCCCCAATGATAATAGGTTTCAAGGTCAGCTCAATATTTAGTATATAAACTGAATAGAAAATTTCTATAATTTTATCATTGTCGGAATGGTTTTTAAATTTTGAAAATAACAAAAATATAAAATATCTGCAAACAACTATAATTTTGCTAAATTTGTTGCTTCCTTGAAATAAATTTTTTAAAAGAATAATACATAAAGTTATATTACTATTCATCTATTCACTTTGTCTTAAAAGCAGGTTTGCCATCTTAAGTCAGTAAATTTGCCAATATGTTCAAATGACAAAATAGTTAATAAGTAATCACATAGAGGAAATCATTATCTTTTGCCATTGTAAAAATTAAAATACATGAAAAACTGTACTCCTTTGGAATAACTTTTCCTGTATTCCTTTGGAATAAACTTTCTTCTAAGAATTTCAGTTTTTAACTGTTACTGTATTTTTCTGACCAAAAAAATTTCATAACATTATTAGGTTGAGTTCACTTAATTATGTACACATAAACAATTCAAATTAAATGTTCAAATTCTTGTTTGAATCACTGGAAAATTCAGGCTGTAATACAAAGTTCTGGAAGATTTCAGACTTATCACCAAAAGTTCGATTTGATTAATTTGTTGGTGTTTTTAGTCATGCCAACATTGTAAAAGTTACATGATGAATTCCAAGCTCTACTAGTGGAGGAATACTTCTGGAAGAAAGAGATACCAGAATAGGACAATAGACCTTTCATCAGTTAGCTGGACAGCTTCCTTACATGAAAGAATCCAAAGGCTGAGTATTTAAAACATGAGCGGTGGAGCCACCCCAAGTTCAAGGCAACACTTTAATAAACCATTGCTCATGGAGCATTGCAACAATAACAAATGACGTATACCACCAGTATTAGGCCAGCCTGTACTTTTCTACAGTCTGACCAAACACTTTACTGTTGTCTGCTCTATTTAACAAATCTGGTACTGAAATCCCTTTTACTAAAAATGGAAAATTCCAAGTTGAAATTAGGGCATGTCTATTACACAAAAATATAGAAGTATCAGGTTTAAAGTTCTAATGAAAAGTTTTGAAATGAAGACTTTAACTTGAACTTAATAATGTATGTTTAATTATACAATGTACATAAATGCACATTTGTCATAATCAGGTATCATTTTATGTTAATATTTATATATATTTTGTTGTTGTGTGTGTTGTAATCGCTGTAAAGGGGGAGTAAAAGACAATATATAACAGATAAGAATCACAACAATCAGTGCTCAATATTTCACCATGTGCAGGTAATACTGTCAGGTAATACTATATATAAAGTAAAACTTATCAATAAAATGCACTTAGTCTAGCTTAAGGTAAAACTATGTTGTGGTCTGTCATTTTTGCTAAAATGTTAAAATAATTTTGTATAGAAAAATATTTTCATTCTTACAACATATAAAGTGGTAAAAAACAGAGATAATGATAAGTGAGATGGTACATATTCTTGATATATAAAGTTAAGACTTAAAAATATATCTGAAAAGAATAAGACAATTTTGTTAATTAAATATAAAGGAAAAAAGGAACAAAAAATGACAGAACAAAATAGAAAAGACATGCAATGTACATCAATTTATAAATAGGCGCATCAGCTTTAAAGAATGGTACAGACTTTGATTTCAGGATTATTTAACAATAAATGACGTTTATATGATACATGGCAGGAAATTAAAATAAGATAAAAAAGTAAAACTAAAAAAGTTGACAAGATTTTTTTTCTCTATGTGCAAACCATAGCCCTGTTCCTTACCAACTGTCCGTTTTACCCTAGGGGTACTTCCATTTTTGTCTGATTTGGATAAAAAATGATGTTAAATAAATGTACATATTTTAGTATTATAAATTCTGAATATTGTTCAGTAATATTGTTGCACAATATATTAAATAAAAAAAATATCATGTGAAAAATGTTGAATGAGCACAATGTTTTCATATTTAAAGTGACATTATGATAATTTTTTTTCGCTGTCAAGTTGAGATGAATTAATAATATATTTCAAGGAATACACTATTATGATGATGATTGACCAATATATGATAATAAAAAATGAAAAGGATGATAAAAACTACCTTACTTTTAAAATGACTGCCCCACTCTTTTTTAAAGTTCAATGTTACCACTACATTCCGGACTATATGTATATAAATTTCCATGTGTCACATGGATTATTGATTAGTTTTGCATAGTTAAATATAAAATTGAACACAATAATGGCAAAATATAAAGTAATTTTGACTTTTATTTGGGCACTCGTCATTTACACTTGGATAGGCATGATGTCACTTTAAATAAGCTGTTAATTCTTTCAATTAAATCTAAGAAAATGATTTATGATTCTTTATGATAATTTATATAAATGATCTAATCATAAACTCATGAGATTTCAAATTGAATCAAATAGATTTAAGAATATACCATTGATTCCAAAGTCATCAGCTATTTCATCAATTATAGATTCAGCTACATTTGAGTCATCAGAATATGACCTTTTAAGTTTAGGGGACGGTGATCGCCGTCTAAGACCGGGTGACAATCTATCAGTGTTGCGGGGACTAGGAGATGGTGTGCGACGCAGGACTGGTGGTTTATTCTGCGGAGATGGAGAACGACCTTGACTTTTGGAGGATGTAGGTCTTCCTGAGGATTTATTAGGAGGGGGTGGAGATGGGCTACGCCTGCCTTTGCTGACTTTTGCAGGTGGTGACTGCGGGGTGTGTCGTCCTGATGGTCTACCATACTGAAATATATAAATATATATATAAACTACTGTTACAGAAAAATGCACAACCTTTTAAAATCAAACCTTAATATCATCTAAAGCATCTGCAGGGCATATGGTTGACTTGAATAATATTAGGCACGTTTTTATCTATATGTAGTGAAGATTCTAATTAATTCAGCTTTTGCCTACTTACTTCATAAATCCCACTTACAGCCAGTTTTAGATTAGCTAATGGGAAATGAAGACATAATGATTTGGGTGCCTGCCCTTCAACACTAGGATCTTTGGCTTGAACCTCATTGGTGTCATTACCAAATTTCCTCATATGTAATGGATGGTAAAGATGTAAACTTAATATGTATTGATAGAATTTGTTTTGTAATCTACCTGAAGATCCAGTGTATACATGTATAACTACTGATAAACTGATTTAAGTGTGAAAGAAGACAGTATTTTCTTGCATAGCAGACTGGCGTTTCCGCTAGTTTTACCCATGCCGAAAATTTCGTCTGGCATGGGGGGTGCCAGATGAGTTGCGTGCCAAACAACGTCATTTTAGCGCACTTTATGAATGAACCGCGTTAAAATGACGTTGTTTTAGAAGGGAAATATGTGCTTAGGATGACGTCATTTCGCCGTTGTTATTTAAGTTGTAAGTTCATACGCTATTGTAAGAAAATAGTTATGGATGAAATGACTTTAATTTTCATGAACATATATCGCATTGAGGTAAACTATTTTAAATATGAAATAATATGGCAGAATATGCAAGAAAAAATATCTGACATATGTTAACGGTTCGGATCGGAATATCTGTCCCTCGGGAACCCGCCCATGGGCGTGTCCCCTCGGGACGGATATTCCGGTCCGAACCGCAACATATGACAGATATCATTATTAATTAATTACTGTTATAACTAAAGGTGTATAAAGTTAATATTGTCTTATTGATGTAAATAGATATGTCTAACTTGTCTCTTAGGTTTAATGTCCATGCTATCAGACGAGGATGGAAGGCCACCAACAAACTCAGCCAAACTTTCCTCTTCAGAGGTTAATACAACATCAGTTGAATACTTTAATGAACTCTTCAGTTGGAATGGAGATGCTGCAATACAAAAAGAGATATATATATATATTCACATGTATATAAAAAATAACTATTTTTAGAAAAGAAAATAATCAATCTACTTGCTTATGCTGTAATAAAAGGATATCCTATTATGGCTATAGTACAATAAGCTGTCACAAAAACTTGCCAGCTGTAATAAAAGGATTTCCTATAATACAATTAGCTGTCACAAATACTTGCCTATGCTACAAAGTATTGCCTATGCTACAGTTAGAAGTAATAAAAGTCATGCCTAAGCTACAATAAGCTGTAATACAGCATTGCCTTTACTACAAATCGCTGACATAAAGTCATAGCTATGCTACTAATAGCCAAAGTAAAGTTTGCCAGCAGCCATAGCTAGGTCAGTCTGTACTTAAGTCAGTCTGAAAAAACACTTTATTGCTATTTGACTTTGACATCTTGATATTGAAATCATTTAATTTAACACATACTGTACAATACTGGTTAAGTAAGCGACATGTAAATAAGGGCAAATTGACGAAAATTGCTAACATATCCTTTAGCATAAATATCAAACAACCTGTTTGTTATAAAATGGAAATTTACTGATCTCCCTGTTATAAAATAGCTACAGCATGATTTTAAAAAGAGGTAAGTTCAACATAAAACCTTTTTTCTTCTGAGGTTGACTATCTAATGACTGTTTGGCTGGTGAAAGTCCTCGGTTTTGTTGTGCTGTGGTAGCTCTAGGTGGTTCTATTGATGCAAGAGGGGCCTGACTGGGAGTGGCTTTCTTCAAAAACTTGCCTCCATCCCGACCTATTTTTATGCTCTCTGATTTAGAATTATGGGAATCTGATAACTGAAGACAATGATAAGATCTATGTTACCACTTCACCATGACAATTAACAAGAGCTGTCGGTAGGACAGCACGCTCGACTATTCTAAGTGCTTGATAGTAAAAGAGCCTTAATAATGTTAAATTTTTTAAGTTCACAAAAGGGCTAATTTTTTTTTATAAATTCATGTTATAGGCCTTAGAGAGAGTCTAATTATACAGTATTGGCTTGACTATTCGGAAGGTAATGTCACAAGGGTGTTTTATTGAGTATAATAATACTAATTACCTATGAATACATAAATTTGACAGAAAAGGTACAAAGGCTTGTTATTAAGATGTTTTATCAAGTAAATCACTGCTTTATTATTATGAATGCATAAAATTGTCCCAAAAAAGGCACAAACCCTTCAGTAGTTATTGAGATAACAGCTTACAAACAAAACTTTACCATGAATTTCTAAGTTGAAAAAGGGGAGAAAAATCAGCCTAAATGCAAGCTTTGTCAGTGACCTACAATTATGACCCTAAATGTGAAGTTTTAAATAAATATCTTTAATAGTTATAGAGATATGTAAAATTGTTACTATAAAAAAAGTATTTTAAATTTCAAGTGAATATCTCAAGCAATAATTGAGATATTTGACTTTACAAAAAAACTTTAACCAAAATTTCTAAGTTCCAAAGGGGCATAATTCTGTCATTATTGTAGGCAGAGTTATCCAACTTGTCAATCTGATGTACTTTGTTACTATAAATAAGTATTGTAAGTTTCATTTGAATATCTCAAGCAATAATTGAGATATTTGACTTTACAAAAAACTTTAACCAAAATTTCTAAGTTAAAAAGGGGCATAATTCTGTCAATATTGTAGGCAGAGTTATCCAACTTGTCAATCTGATGTACCTTGTTACTATAAATAAGTATTGTAAGTTTCAATTGAATATCTCAAGCAATAATTGAGATATTTGACTTTACAAAAAACTTTAACCAAAATTTCTAAGTTAAAAAGGGGCATAATTCTGTCAATATTGTAGGCAGAGTTATCCAACTTGTCAATCTGATGTACCTTGTTACTATAAATAAGTATTGTAAGTTTCAATTGAATATCTCAAGTAATAATTGAGATATTTGAATTTACAAAAAACTTTAACCAACGCAGACGCCGACGCGGACGCTGACGCCGACGCCGGGGTGACTACAATAGCTCTCATATTCTTCGAATAGTCGAGCTAAAAATTAATTAAATCTTGAAGGAGGTGATGACATCACTAAAAGTTAAACAAGCAGATGATTGGATTTGACTCAATTTTTGTCAGATTTTAGATACCTAGCTTTTCTACAGTTAATGCTAATGCCAATTTCAAGGTATATTTTTAGCATGTTTCACCATTACTGTATTCCTGATGAAGGTGCAGAAGTAATGAAACAGGTAGAATCTTTAACAAAATAAGTTTACTGACTCTGTGATTGATGTTAAGCTCCTCTTAACTTTAAATGAAAGTAAAATCAATCTGATCTGTTTTGAAATCTAGCAAACTCTGTATTGTTTGATATACAAATAGTAGTCACTAGTATAGGTATTTAACAATAGATATATAGAAATTAGGATTACTTGGTCTCCAATAGACCGGGAGAGTTTTACAGCACTAAAACTCTCATCACTGTCAGACTCAAGGGTGTAGGTCTTGCGCGTGGCTGCTCTCTGCTGAATCTTGCCTGTTAGTGCCGAGGCCTTATCCAAGGCACTGTAGGCTTGTCTGCTTGACCCAAGTTGACTGACTGGTCTACTGGACCCTGCACTCTGAACAGACTGACTACCATACCTTCAAATTAAACAAAAACTTGAAAATATTTTATGAATACATGACGTATACTGCAAGTTGCAAATGCTCAAAAAAAATTTTTTTTATTTCAGTGCCTTCTATGAAGTTACTGCATGAATAGTATATCGCTTTGCCTGGTTGAATGACGTTGTGAATTCATATGCAACTAAAACAAAATAGTTATGAATGTAAATGACATTAATTTCCATGTAAAATTAATAAATTGGGGTAAATTAAACCTTTACAAATATGGTAGAATATACATGAAAAATATCTGACATGTGTTTGTGACTCAGATCAAAATATCCATACATTACTGTCTATAGGCTGTAACTCAACAAGCTTCACTTTTGCTCAATGGTTAGGTACCCTCACCTCAGGATGGAATTCAAACCCAATCATGTGACAGATATTATCAATCCTATTTGAATATTTCCAGACTGTCAAACTGTTCATCATGTCTAAATCATTAATAAATAACTAATAGACTGTGTTATTGAATCCTGACATTTTCTATGCTTGTACACTTTCAAGTAATTACTTCACTTCCTTCAGTAACTTAGAAAAGGTTGTTTAATGTAGATACACAGGGTTGTCATTAAGAGGCGGCAGGAGGCCAAAATGCCTGTCTCAAATGCATTATGGGCCGCCTCAAAATTAAGAAAACACTCTTTGTTATGCATGATAAAGACAGAAATGACTGCCTCAAGTTCAAAACAAACCTTCTGCAAAAAATGTTAATGACAACCCTGGATACATATTTTTACTATATACAAATGGTTACCTTTGAGCAGGCTGAGATTTAACAGCTGGAGATGGAGAAGTGGCCGAGACCTGAGGTTTCTTCAGAAATTTATTCCCTGCCGGTTCTACATTCTCATCTCCGACTGCACCTGGCTTCTTTTTCAAAAATTTACTACCTGAAGAAATTTCTGGGGCAGGTTTTGCCTGAACTCGCACATCTTCAATATCACTTGATATGGAAATACTATCACCAAGATCTTCAAAGTTAACAGTCTTCTGTTGTTTGGAAGTTTTCTGTGTTAATGAACTAATGTAGGCCTGAAAAGTAAGTATCCATAGCGATTATATCACTGTCAGTGTGAAATATTTCATAATAAGTTTGCAAAACTTCAATAAGATATTCTGATATACTGTTTTTGGAAACAGTAAATTGTTAGTCTGGCCTTTAACCCTCAGGGTAGATAGCCAGGTCAATGGAGTAATTTTTTGTCACTTTAATAGTGAGGATTATTATTATTCTATGGGGGAAGGTTTGATAAAATTTTCCAAAGTTCCTGATATTGCTTTGGTGTGGAGGATAAAGTTAACCATTACCTGATACATTTATATATATACACAATTATGTTGTTACAGTATACTATATTGAAAATATATGTTTTACTTTTTCATGGAAACATGATTATGTACTAACTTACATGTAGTACTACAACTAATCACTTTTATACTAATTTTATCAGAATCAGGTTGCATGTATTCTTCATTTCTTATATTCCTTCAAGAAATCTCTAAAGAAATCTCTCATAGTATGAAATAGTGTACTTATTCTTTTGTGTTCATAACATTTTGTACTTTAGAAAATAAGTTTTCTTTATCTTGGTCCAATTCTGCTTTGCCTGTGTTGCTAATTTAAGAATCTTGTTATTGGAAAATATTTTCTGTGTATGTATTCTTTCAGCTTCAATGCCATATGGCTTTTTTCTATATATGGCCGATTTACAGCTATCAGATAAACAATTGGTTTTTAAGGAAATATCATTAATGATTATGTGCTTACATTAAGTTCATCCTCTGGCTTTTCAATTTTTTCTCCCTTCAGCTGACTGTTGGCTCTTTGTAGCAATGCAGCAGTTGCTCCTGGATTTCTACGCTGCATTTTGTTATCTCTTAATGTTCACATATATAGCATGTGCCTGAAATAATTTCAAGGACCAAAAGTTTTATCAATGTAAAATAACCATAAAGGATCCCATTTAATATCACATTTTATAGGAGAAAAAGATTCTGGGGGAAACTGAAATTTTTAAGACAAAGAGATTCTAATATGCAGAAAGTCTGAGCAGGGCTGCAGGCCCTGCGAGTAATGTAGCTCTCTTAGATAACATGTGTGATGTGTATATATTTAACTGAAATCACATTTAAAACTAGAACTGTGTCCAAAGGACACGGATGCCCCCACTGACAACATATATATGGTATATAGTGAAAAAATCAACAAAGGGCCATAATTCTGTTAATTTGGTCGCAGCAAAAATTCCTTCCTTTACTTCCATCTACACATTAAGGTTGTTCATCCCTGGAAGTTAAAGCAAAATCTGCCATCCGTTTAAGAGAAGTTGCATTCACAAGTTTTCGGGACGTACGAACAGACGTACAGACAGACAAGTGCAACGCTATATACCCCCCACTTTGTGGGGACATAAAAACCTTAGTTAGCAGGCCTAACTTACTTAAAATACACTTCCAGTAAAAGTATGTGTAATAACACTTTGACGTGACATCATTTGCGTTATGTGCAAACATAACGTTAAAGCATGCTAATGTTCGTGTTACACTATAGGGGCATCAATGCAAAATGACTCTTTTTAATTGTTAACCATTCTTATTTTGAATATGTGATAAATAGCATATTATATTTGTGCAGATTCAATACTTAATTTATTGAACAAGTTGAATAAGTTTAACAATATTATGCACGCATGAGGCTCACATTAATATGATTTTATTCAACTTGTTCAATAAATTCAGTATTAACTACACTCATTCAATATCCAGTATGCACTGCTCTGTTTTGTTTTTGTTTGTTTGTTTGTTATAGGTCATATCGCGACGTTCCAGCTTTACTGGTGGAGGAAGACCTCAGGTGCCCTTCCGTGCATTATTTCAGGCACAAACGGGTACCTGAGTAGAACCACCGACGTTCCGTAAGCTAGCTGGATAGCTTCCTCACATGAAAGAATCCAAAGTCCCTGTCGGGATTCGAACCCACAGCGGTGAGGGGCAAGTGGTTTGAAGTCAACGACCTTTGTGCCATTAGCGTAGAAAACTGAAACTAGAGCATGATTTCTGCTGTAAAAAATGCATGAGTCTCATCATGTCAAATGCGTGGGAACTGGCAGGTATGATAGTTAGTTTGTCAAGGGATGAGTTGATTTAGAGATTTTTGTCGTGCACAATCATGTCAAGAATTTTAAAAACGCATAATTTTTCAATATCATGTCCAGAAACTATAATGTAACATTTGATGGCTGAACAAAAAATATGTATCTAAGAACCTTACATTATGCAGAAGAACAAACAACTTCACATCATAATGTGATAGAATCTAATTTATATCATAGCAAATTTTTAAAAATTCTTGCATCCGCCATTTGTAAACAAACAAACGCCTGTCCAAAATGATCAAAATATTAACGACTGCAATAAATATTGTTGTCATCTTCCAATATTGCGTACCTCTTCTTCTTTTTCCAATTAGCGCTTAAGGGCTTTTTTATATAGACAATGGTCGCCCTAAAGACAGACATCTTTGAAATATCAGATTATAAAATCGGTCTGTCTTGCAGTCGAAATATTGAGATTATCTTCCAATATACTGGCCATCTTCAACTAACTGAAGAAATGCGCAAGAGGGAAAGAAAGAGAAAAAGTAGTGAGGAATATATACAGTGCAGGTTAAAATATAGCTATACCTTGCATTAGATGTGACATGATTATGTCGAAACCCACGGTACACATTCCACATTTAATAACGTTACACATTTATGAGTCATTCTATATTTTCGTAACATTTTCAGTTTGAATATCTTTGATTTTTAGATGTCCATTGAGGATTGAATTTATGTGGTGTGATAAGGGATATTTCCCAATCATGAAAAATTATTTTTGCAAACTTAAAATGCATTTAATTTGTCAGAAGAGCATTGACTATGACCTGACTATACAGTACTTCTCTCATGTCACTCCTGTAACACCTGGGACTTTTATATTTAACAGCTAGAATGAGAATACTGTGTCTACACATCCTAAACATGTAACGTTCAACAGGTTTGGTATTATTCTTTTCAAAGAACAATTAATTCATATTAAAAAGGTACCAAATATCAATTTTAGATGATGAATACACCTGGATTTTTAAATCGTAAATATTTAGAGTACTGGAGTTTATATAATTATAAATGAGCGCATTTGGCGTAATTTTATATAAAGATCACCTAAATGTTATGAACTGTTACTTCATTACCATCTGATAAGACATCAGTAAAATAAAAAAATCATTTTTATGTGTTGTTTACATGAGTGACAGGTACTGTTACGGGAAAGACACTTCTGTTACAGCAGTGACAAAAAATAAGCATGCATAGTATACTTCGTTATTTTTTCCAAACTTTTATAGAATTAAATTTTATTTTATCTTAAGATAAAATGTAAACTGAAATATGTTATGTAGTGTTTGATTATCACCTGACAAGACCCACGGGGGAGGAGGTGTTACACGAAGGATGGAGTTCTTATGATAACTTGTTTGGAGTTCTTATGATAACTGTCACTGAGTTCCTGGAAAACGTTACGGATTTCTGTGGAAAACTTTTCTATATACTTGGAGAACTCGCGTAAAAAATGGTTATTTTTAACTTTAAATGGGGAGTTTGAGGTGCTAAATTAAACTTTGATAATTAAGCTTGCCCTTACAAATTGTATTTTGTTTCAGAAAAATCTTTTAGTTAATATTTTGTCGCCTTTTTAAAAAAATCTGGTAGTTTTTGAGAAAAATTACCAAATTACTTGCTAATTCGTACATATTTTGACCTTTTCATTTGTGATCTTCTTCGTTGCTATACTTAATTACCTAATTATTATGGAGAGTTGCAAACATAAAGCCCGCGCTAATAAATTTATACCTGATTTTTCAAATGTTACGGAGTTCTTGCGATAACTCAAAATATGTCCTGGAGTTCTTATGATAACTTTTGTTACTGCCAGTGTGTTTTTGTGCTTAATCACGGCACGTTTAAGCGTATTTTATTAGTCAATAAGTGTGTAAATCATTATGAAGCATAGTACGCTTATCATTTGAACAAAAATTTGGTTATATAACGTTGGTTTTGATCGCGTTTTTCAGTTCAAGAGATATTTTTCTTACCTCCGTTTCTTGTGATTTTTTGTGTTTGTTTTGGTCTTTGTGTGTGTGTGTGTGTGTTTTTTTTAAATTTTATTGGAATGACTGTAAACATACTTAATGTAGAGCATTTACCTACAGGATAAAAATACGCTTTGAATTTAATACTCAAGCACGATTTCTTCATATATACATTATTCCTGGCAGTTTTAAAGAACATTTAGTAACTATGCTATCGGTATGCGTGTAAATGGTTTTCAGCAAAATAGGAGGTAGTATGCACTACCTTTATCTAAATTTAATGAGGTGGGTGTCGTCTTTATATATTCAACGGGTATTTCAATTTCTAAAAGTTATCAGTTTTTGTCATAGAAACGTATAAAGTTCTATGACAATGATATGACGATAGAAAGTAAGTCTTCAGTAAGATATGTGAGTCACCGTAAGGTTCATGCCGTTTATCGACCTTGTTCCTTTCTCTATTACATCCAATGTAGCATCACGTGACGTACAGCAATCTCCATATTTCTGAAAATTGCTGCATACATTTTTCTTATCAAAGTTGGAGTCCTAGTTGTGGAAATTTTGCAACAACTTTTGCTGTAATTGATTACAAAAATATGTTGTCGAACTTCTTTCGCTCGAACCCGTAGGGCACGTGCAAATCTGTAGTAAGAGATCGGTAGTAATCGGTTGATTTTTTTATGCATAAAAAGATCATACATTTCGGGTGCTTGGGTGTGAAGGGTATCCCGGTTCTATACGATACATGGTATATAATGATACAATTTACTTAGCCGCTTCTTGAGGGAAGCCCAACTACTTATTGTCTGCTTTAGAAAGGCGGTTACTGGATTAGAAGTCATCGACTCAAACCCCTCGACCACGGAAGCGGTCGTTCCTGAAGATAGCTTAGCACCTGTTTATCCTATGTAGACTGTACACTAAAGCAGTTTCATGTCTTCTCCATATATATTGAATGATCGTGTTTTAATTTTGCCACATGGCCTCAATGTTGCATTTGCGGAAACTTATGACATAAAACTTTTGTTGATGAACAGTATACACAGAAACATTTAGTGCATTCGTTGGGTTTTATAATGTCAATATGATTTCGCATAAATTTAATTAGGAACTAAAACACGATCAAAACCAACGTTATATAACCAAATTTTTGTGCAAATGATAAGCGTACTATATGCTTCATAATGATTTACACACTTATTGACTAATAAAATACGCTTTTAAAAACGTGCCGTAATTAAGCACAAGAAACACACTGGCAGTAACAAAAGTTATCATAAGAACTCCAGGACATATTTTGAGTTATCACAAGAACTCCGTAACATTTGAAAAATCGGGTATACATTTATTAGCCCGGGCTTTATGTTTGCAACTCTCCACTATAATTAGGTGATTATGTATAGCAACGAAGAAGATCACAAATGAAAAGGTCAATATGAACGAATTAGCGAGTAATTCGGGAATTTTTCTCAAAACTACCAGATTTTTTTAAACGGCGACGAAATATGGACTAAAAGATTTTTTTTCTGAAACATAATACAATATGTAGCGCAAGCTTAATTATCAAAGTTTAATTAAGCACCTCAAACTCCCCATTCAAAGCTAAAAATAACCATTTTTTACGCGAGTTCTCCAAGTACATAGAAAAGTTTTCCACAGAAATCCGTAACGTTTTCCAGGAACTCCGTGACAGTTATCATAAGAACTCCAAACAAGTTATCATAAGAACTCCATCCTTCGTGTAACACTTCCTCCCCCGTGAGACCGTGGTTAAATAATAATGTCATTTACATCTTGTTACATGAGTGACATTTTAGTTACAGGAAGGACATTTCTGTTACAGCAATGACAAAAATATGCATGCATGGTACTTCACAATTTCATCAAACTTGTATTAAATTCATTAATACAAGAAGATTTTAAACGTAAGACATTCATCTTATGTCAAAATCCAAGTGTGCTGTCACAGTTATTCTCCCCTAGTTTTATATTGATAAGTATTTCTTAAATGCTAATAAATATGGTTTGAATCTTTACATAGTGTGGGTTTGTAACCCTGATTTAACAGGACAGTATTCAATGACAATTTGGTGTGGATAAAATGTACCAAATAAATTTTAAAAAATGGAACAATCACAGGACAAAATTAAGTACTTTCAACCACTCAAGGGTTATCAAAGTCTTCTAAATCATTTTTTTCCTTTTGTTCAAATCATCAACAACCTTTTAGATGCTTGGACTCACTTATGTTCACTATCTTTTTAATTAAGCAGACAAAATTACCTTTAACAGAGGCATCACTGTTATAAATTGATCATGTTTCTTTGACTGCCTTGCTACTTAAGCTTCTTCTGCCTTACTTCTTTCTGCTCGCTTACTACTTTCTGCTGACTTACTTTTTTCTTCTGCCTGATTACTTTCTCTTTACTTACTTCTTCTGCCTGACTACTTTCTGCTGTTTTATTATTACTTTCTTTTGCCTGACTTCTTTCTGCAGACTTACTACTTTTTCTGCCTGACTTCTTTCTGCTACCTTACTATTAATTTCTTTTGCCTTACTACTTAATGTTGACTAATTACTTTTCTTTGCCTGACTTCTTTCTGCTATCTTACTTATTCTTTCTGCCGCCTTACTACTCCTTTCTGCTGACTTTCTGCTGTAATGACAACCTTATGCTGTAATGACCTACTTCTTTCTGCTGGCTTACAACAGCTTCAAGTTTTTAACTTATTTTCAGACTTACAACTTTCTAACTAATTCCATCTGACTTACCTACTGTTTACTGACTTACTGCATGTTTCAAACTTACAACTTAAACTTCTGACATAAATTTCTGTTACAACTTTCTGATGACTCTCACTTTCTGCTGGGTCATATGGGGGTTGCGTTCATTGAACGCCGCCTTTCCTTGTTGATCTTGTTGATCATATTTACTACTTACTACTAACTCAAGATTTTCACCTTATTTACAACTACCACTTTACTTACTACAGTCTGCCGACATAAAAGTTTTGGTTGAGTTGAGTTACAATTTTGTACCGGCTAACAACTTTCTACTGACCAACGACTTTTATTTTAATTACTATCTGACCTACTACTTTCTAAGGAGCTACGAATTTCTGCTGACTTATTTGATTCTTCTGACTTATAATTTTCATCTGATTTAGAACTTTCTGCTGAATAACCAAGAAATAGACGTCCTGATGCCATTGTCAAATTTGTTGGGCTTACTATTCGAGAATTTTTCTGTTTCATA